AACAAAACATGTATAGAAAGATATAGCTTTATAACTTCTGCTCCCATTTTTGTCCCAAATTAGCAAACTCCTACTTACCTATTCTTTGGACTTGTCATCTTTCCTGTCAGACACAAAGTTTGCCAGTCATTAACGCAGTTGAAGAATTTTCCAGTTATTCTTCCTTTCTTGCACACCCTCAGTGTTCTTGAAGCTTATGCAGTCTGGTTAGGAAGAACCTGAGAGAACAGAGGTCCTCCCCCCTCATAACTCCTCCCAAGAGAGGCTGGTGTCATTTGCAAATGCTTATGGGCTTTGAGCAGCTTCACAGACCTTATAATTAAAGTCAGCCCTCATTTTGTTCCACTAAAAATAAACTTGACACGACCATGATTCTGTAATCTTAATACAGGAAACATAGTTCTTAACCACTTGGTTTGAAAACAATAGCATTTTTTCAGCTCCTACTGAAATTTTATTTTGAAATACACTTAAATAGTATGTTTAAAGGTTTTTTTTTTAAATCTTATTTCAAATCCTTGACAAAACCACTAAGTTACCCTTCAATATAACCAAAGTATGTTACATTTCTTCAAAGGTAACTTTGAAAGGGACCTATAGAGATGTATACACTCTTCAGTCAACTCTTAATATACCACAGTATATTAAATAATTGACTATCAGACCACTTGCAAGAATGCAATGAAAGGTTATTTAGTTTTCAGGTTATGGTTCCCACTTATTTCAACTTAGCAGACTTCTTAGTCATTCACATACTGTTGTACAAAGAAAGATGGAACTGACATGCAATAGCATATCTGCAATTCATAACTCCTTTTGTTCTTGTTATGGGAGGAAGACAAGATCTTGTGACTTAACGAAGTAACTGGCTCCCCCCCATGTTTGCACATCTTTAAGGGAAGTTTATGAAGCAGTCAGAAAATGGCTAAATGTGTCATTTGTCAAATAAAGAAAACTGAAGTAAAGCAGCTGCAATAGAGATCCAATATAAGCACATGAGCCTTGTAAATACTTGGCTTCAGTCTGGTAATTTCCTTAATAGAAAAAACAGCATTTCTAGGGAGGGAAAATTTAAGGCCCTAAAGCAAGTGCCAATTGTAGCTCCAATAAAACAGTTGGAAAGATGTGTGTCACTAGAGTAGAAAAACCAAATATAAAACCAAATTGTTACACATTCACATTTTCAGCTTATCCAGTCTATTTCTGCAAACTGTGCCTCCTCCCTCCAGAGCCATCACAGAAGCATATACTCTTTGAGAGCATGACACACCACTGCAGTTACTGCAACCATGCATTTTCCCAATAGTGTTTTGATATGTACGATTAAGCAAGATACATATAAATACACAGACCAGAGTACCAGACCCTTACTTGTTAGTTTATATAATGCTACTATGGAAAGTGAAGGTAGAAGGAAAACCAACTGTGAGATGGATTGACTTCATAAATCAGTCTTGAATTTGCAAGAACTGGGTAAGGCTTGTCAAAGGACATTTTGGAAGACTTTCATTCATAGGGGTGCTGTATTTTGATGACTTGATGGCACATTCCTTGTTTCTACCGTTTTCAAAACTCAAATCTTATTTTTAGTTTTCATGGAAATTGTGCAGATTTCTTGGGAGACCAGCAGACTTTGGGTATTTCCCAGAAACTCCTGAGATTTTGGCTATATGGTATATTTTACCTCTCCCTCAACTGCCTTTCTAATGCTATGGTATTACCTGCATCTCAGCTCACCAACTTGTACCATAGGAAGAAAGGATTCCACAATTATCGTTCAGCACACTGACACTGTATCATACCTTCTGATTTGTGGCACATTAGCTCCTGTCCTCCCATGGCTTGTCCCAGTTTTAGAACAAAGGTAGGCAGTGGTAGCTACCAAAGATTCAAAGGACAAAAAAATGCAAACTTGCATATATTAATTCATATATACTCTGAAGCTTGTGTGTCTTTAAAGGACCTTTTCTCCAAAGGACACTTATTTAAAAAAAAAGGAATGTATGCAGAGTGAGATTTGATTAGCAATGAAGAAAACCACAGGGAGATTCAAGGGTAGATAGCAAGTGGTGAAGCACATATCCAAAAGCCCGCTAATCTGGGAGATCAGATGCAACAAAGATCATCAGGGCCCTGTACCTTTATTTCTGCAAGTGTCCATGCAAAGTTGGGTGGTGGTGCACAGCCTTCCAGATTCAGTGCTCCAAAGGAAAAAATTGGAGCTCTACCCATAGTTAACCTCATCTCTTGGGATGGGCAGGTGATCCGGAACTACTCAGATCTCCAGGTGGCTTGCAGTAAGATCAGCAAGGATTTTCACATCCTACTTGTTTAAAAGCATGAGCAGCTGCACCCCAATTAAAAAGCAGACATGACTAACTGGAATAGTGGATTGTTCTGTGGATGGGCTGAGAGTACAATCCTGGTAGTTAAAATAAATTCCTGGGTTCAGAATTTTTACATGAAGTCTATGTCTTTTGTAGCAGTCTCTTGCTGATGGATCTGGGGGTCCAATATAAAGCTTAGTTCAAACAAGCCTGAATTCTGGCAAAGTTGCTCTTGAGAGCTTCTGGGCACTTGTCTACATATTTAAACCAGCTTATTGAAATGAGAGAGATCTTTCATGTTTCTGAAACTCCACATTCATAGATGATTAAAGTGACTGGTGTCCCTTCATCCAAAGTTTCTACCTACAGATGTCAAAAAACACATGCTAATAAATATGGCAAAGCCCGTCTCCAAAGTATAGCACCCTTTCCATTAGTTCCACAAACAGAAAAGTTCTATGGAAACGTTCTACAACTGAGAAGGAATTTATCACAGCTGTTGAACACTTCCACATTCTAAGCAATCTCTTAAGTCACACATAGGTTTGCACTAATAGTTATGGCTGTACGACAACCATTCCAAATTTATCCTTTTCTCCTGCAGCATCTTAAAAAGACACTTCCAATAACAAAAGTTGCCCTTAACATGAAGGAAAATAGTTCACTCTGATGGAGGTTAGAATTCACTAGGGATCAAAACATTAAACTTCCATCAAATTATTAAGCAAGGGATGCAGAATTGCCAGTCTGCATAAGTTCTGCCATCAAGCTGATGGCAATTCCTTGGGTTCTTCCAAAAGGTGAGATCTGGCCTCTAGGCCCTGCCCCCTGCAGAAATCCCTGCTGTCATGTCTTATGGGGATGGTGTGTACTGTGTGAAGTTGGAAATTCAGGCTGTGCCGGGAGGAACTCTGTGCCTCTCCCAGCACAAAAAAAGGTAAAATGGGTGAGACATGCTCAGTGATGTTGGATGACAGTATCAATTCAGACCCTATCCAATTTTTTTTTGCACCCCTGCTTTAAGCAATGATGTCACTGCACCAAGTATGCATCAAGAAATTACAGGATTTGCCCCTGCTACTTTTCAGTCCAAGGAAAGATGTGGTTGCTCCCTTTTCCCTCTGCTTAAGAAATGGTCAAAGGCCATTTTAAAAAATTGGCTCTAGTTTATTTTCCCTTGAGAGACTGAGAAGGGAATCAATTAAATTTATGCATTTAGAATAGTAAGCTATAAACTTTATCCAGTGTCTTTTATTTTATGCTACAAGGGTTCTGTACAAGCTAAAGCTACAAGTGGGAATCTGTTTACAGCCTTCAGTGCTGGAGCAGAGTGGGGAAGACAAAGACAGCTGTACAGCCTTTGCAAAAGCCTTTGCACAGACAAACAGGCTAGTGTACAGTACAGCTAATTAGAAGCTCCACCTTTAGCATGGCCAAACCCATTACTTTAGACATATCCCCCACAGCACACACTATAGCAAATACTCCAAGACATTTCCCTTTATCAAAGACTGTAACTGTGACTATGAATATAACCTAAGCTCAGCCTCTCAATCCTTTAAGCATTGAGTTATTCCTCATGCTTTCTCTGAATTTACATCAGATAGCAACTTTGTGTTTGAAATGTAAAAGGCAATCACTGAACAAGGTCTAAAGGCAGTTGCTGGGATAGCATTTGAAGCCTGCTTTCCACATGGCCTTCCAAACAGACATTTCACTAATCTGGGAAGATTTCATAGGGAGACTGAGAAACACAAAAAGTGAAGAGGAGTTCAAGGGGAGCAGTTGCTTCATGATGTGGATCTCCATCTGTTGAGAGTTCTATCAGCTGATGGAAGCTGGTTCTGAATTTCCATTAGTTGCAGGTTCTTCTTTTTTACTCTCCTCCAGCCCAGACCCACTCGACACAAGATGTTGCATATTCTAGTAGAGACAAAGAATGAGGAGTTACAATTGTACCCTACTGCTTTTCACAAGCCAAGAGTGTGGTTACGTGGAAAAAAAATCCAATTTCAGAACTCTAGTCTTAGTTTGGGTCTAGATATAAACTAGAAGGCTTTCTCCAATCTTTTTGCTGGATGTTACTTCCCAGTGAATTGGCTATTCCATTCTGAAATTCAAAACAGCCAAAAGACCATGGGAAAATTTTCCTCTGGGCACCTGCTTGAAACTTATGGCTACAGCAAGCGATGAGCCTTCATTCAGGGCCTGCGGAATGGGTTGGGAGCAGATCATTTTGAGTTTTCAGCTGTTAAGAATTTGAATCAGAATTGAAAAGTTCCCATTTCAGCAGGCAGGGAAGCAAAACACAGTCATCTTTAGAAAGCTGAAAAAGTACAGCGAGGGAAACAGATGTGCAGTAACTTTGAGATTATACATATATTCAGAATGTAGCAAGTCAGCAACAAAGGAAATAGAGGGAAAAAGGCAGAGAATATTTCCTAAGGCCTGTAGAAATTCACATTAACAGGCCTCAACCACCTGCCAGCTCCTAACCCTCCCCCACCCCACATTAATGCTGCAGGCCAGCTGTGCAGTGTTGTACGGGGGGGGGTGATCCTCATCTCATTCCCTCCCCCAACACATACAGTGAGCAGATGGCTAATCCCCTTGACGAACAAGCATTGGTTACCACTTCCCTTTGTGCCTAGTCTGTGCACATGGTAAGGCTGGCTGGATTTTAAGAAATCATTATAGAACAAGTCGCTTCACTGGGCACTCTAAATGTACTCACGGAAAGGATCCACTTCTGCTACAGAAAGGTACTCCAAGCTTGGCTCAGTACCTGCAATGGTAACTCCTGCTGCAACTCAGAGGCAGGAGACACAGTGTGTCTGGAAAAGCTCCCTCTGCCTGGCTGTGCCACCTGGTTCAGATGACCATGCTGAGTTGACTCTTCACTTGAACGCAAGCTTATGGGGATGTCAGCAACGTTTTTGTTCAGCTGGTTCTCGAGAGCCATAGAAGGATCAGAAAGCAGGGGAGAAGGAGGGCACTGCATGCCATCCCCAACAACATCCAAATCCTATGAAAAAGAAAGCCAAAAAATAAACCTGTGTGTTCCATTTTCTTCCTCCCAACCAACTTTTAACACTATTTCAGCTTCTTCTAAAGTGACAAACAAAATCAGCACGCATAAAAAGGTGTCAGATTAACATCCCTTTCCATTAAAGCAGGACACAGTCTAATGTTTTAGCCATTCAACTTTTAAAAAGGGTTTCATTTTTTCCTGAAATGTTGAAATGATACCCCATATCATCACCCCTTTGCAGGGTAAGGCAGAAATTCTATAATACAGCTGGGCAGGAAAATCTGAGACTTACTAATATTTGATCAAATGAGGATCCCATATGATTAAGCTCAGACTACCAAGATTCTTCTATGAATACCCGGGCAATTCTCTCATCTTGTGCAAACTTTATGCCATACTGATGGATGTCTGTGTGTGTCTGTGTGTTGTTGTAGCTTGAGAAAAGGAAGTATAACTGATATTTTATGGGCAAGAGATCTGCTAGCACACACAGCAAGTCTGATTTCTTTCTCAAACAAAAGATGGGGTGGGCAAAGGGGTGAGTTACTTGAAATCCAGAACAGTCACAGTTAAGAAAGAAGAAACCATGGAAGCATATGAACTCCACCTACCTAGAATGAAATAGCTTTTTAACAAAGTTTCTAAGTATATATGAATAATGGTCTATTATTTTAAAAAATGTCATTGCAAAATATCCTATCTAACTCATAAGTTCCAGTCATTCCCCAAAAGATGCATTTAGGAGTTAAAATTATTTAATGTTAGAGTCATAGTAGGGAAAGATGACATGGCTGGTAATTTAAGTCATATGCTAAAATGAGATGTGCTCCTGCTGCAAACAGGTACAAAACCCCTACAATTCATTTCCTAAGAGAAATCACTTAGAACTCAACTACACAATCAAAAGCAATACACAGATCTCACAGAAATGAATTCCTTCAAAATGCAGGTACTACTTCCTTCCACTGGATCTACTCCCTGGCTTCTTTTTTAGCATCTTTAAATGCACAATAAAATGCACTTCTTCACTCTATCATTCCAAATGATTTAATATTATTCCATTCCCCTTTGTTGTCTGTCTACTCCCCACCATTCTCCTGTGTAGACACCAAGAAGAAAAAAGCATAAAGAACAAAGTAATTTTACCCTTTCAGTGCTCCACTGCACTACAGATGCCAGGATTATTTTTAACAGAAGCACTGAAATAAGAGAGAACAGACATACTGCAGTGTGTATCAGTTAAATATGTGAAATCTTACAGAAAATTGGGTGTGGTAAAGCATTTGCTTTGCTGACTGACAGTGCAAGTAATATGAAAAGGGTATGAGACAACACAACAACTATCTACATATTCCTACAACAGGATGTTCATGTTATGGGCTAAGCTTGATTCCTAATAGGATCACACAAATAAATGAACATCCTCCAAAAGATCCACAGCAGAAGTAGTTTACTCCTATTGCAGTTGCAGACTTCAAGAAGAAAAAAATGAAAAGAGTAAGATAGTGATATTTAAGTTCAATAGTAAGACTTGATGTGTGGAGTGATCACCATTCACTAAAAAACAAATATGCTCATCAAGAAAACAGTAATAGCTGAGAATCTTAAAAGTACTCAGAAGCATAAGGAACACAGTACTTGAGGATGTTTCTTGTCACTGCATCTAAATCAGTCAGAAATTTGTTAACAAATGGCCAAGATAAAAACGACTATTTTTGAGAAGTGTATTTCCACATACAAGTACTGAAGTTCTCTTAAGAATCGGGAAGAATTTTATTGTCATCTGTTTGATCCAAGATTCAAAGACAGAAATGTACACTGTGGTAGTACTGTTGCTGCATTTTGATTACTAAATCAGCAGCACATTTGATGTTAGAAAGGTGCTTTCAAATGTTGCAGAATACAGAACATCTTTGGGGATTTGGTCCAGAATGCAGTCTGGAATCTGTCAACCATATCCATCCTACAAAGAGGCAAAACAGAGTTGCGCAACACAGCCTCTCACTTCCTGCCCACATCAGATTTCTCCATCTTCTCCATCACATGAAAAGAACTGTTCTATGTTTGGAAATTCATCAAATGAAGAAATAAACTGATGCATGAAATAGCAGACAAACTTGTATCAATCTGTTTCAAATTTTCAGTTTTTAGAACTTCCTGCTGACTATCGAGAAACAAAATTGAAGATGTTCAAGTAGAAACGTATACTGATTGCAACAGCTGAGAAAATGATTGACCAAATTTCATGTATACTGACTGAATCTTGGTTCAACATCCCTGCCCTTCACTTTTCCCTCTGTTTTTTTTATGGGAATGAGTGCTTTATGTCAGCCTAACACTGTAACACTGCACGCTTTGTTTTAATAATTTTTGATGCTTTCCTCTGTTTTTATTCCTTTTTGCCTCCTCCTTATGAGCTAGCAAAACCAAAGTGGCTCCAAGTAGTTCAGTTGTTCTTTACAGTTAACAAAAATTTAAAGTTAATTCCATTTGTATTTGTCTGAATACATAACAGTACTATCAGTATGCCAAACATGGTAATTTTATACCAAGCCAAGTTATACATTTTTATTCCTAAAGCAATGAAGTATCTTTCAATCTGCAATGGATTCTAATAGTGCATTTTTTCAATTTTCCCAAAATGTCCCTTTTTTTCCAGAATAAATGTTTTCAAAATGGCTTCAACGTGTCTGGAAATTTTACATCTGTAGCTATATTTTGCCCATGCAGCTTCAACCCACATCATTACTGACACACTCATACCCAGCTTAGAGGCTACGGTGCCTTCTGAAGCATCAAAGGAAGGCGCAGCATTCAATACACTTACATCACTGAACTCCAATGGCAAGCTCTCTGTGGGTCGGAGTTCAGCTGCACTCAAGTACAGATCCGTGGAAGCAGCTTCCAGCTCCTCAGGAACACAAAGTACCTGTTCAGGAACATACATCTGAGGTGGTAGTTGGAGATGCAGTGGACAGCAAGGATCTTCAGAGAGGCTTACAGGCACTGGCTTGCTGCAAGGTGCCTCTTCTGACCCTTGGCACAGCTTAAAGAGAAGCTGATTGGTGTCCTGGCAAATATCTGAAAATATAGTCAAAGGCAATGGGCAAGACTTGCAAAAGAGATGAGCCCTCCCAAAGCATGAGGACTAAGAGAAACTATCAAAATCAGATTTTTAACACACCATCAGGTTTGGAATTTTAAAAAATGGAAAAATTTACATGGAGGAATAGATGAGAGTTATAAATGGAGGAAGACAACTTTTCTACTTATTTTTATCTCCTTTTTACAATTCCTCTATACAGAAGAAAACCTTAAGATAGAACTCTGTAACTCCCAGGCCACTAGTATAGTCTGTTCAAAAACAGCTTTGGCTATTGGGTGGTACAGAAATAAGCAAACAAATCCAGAACAACTTAACTTTATTGCAGAAATATTATCCCATATTATGGAATTATGCTGGAAAAACAGGCTTACAAATGCCACAAAAGGCTTGAATTTCTACTAAAGACATTTAACATATTGAAATAAGTAATCTTTTGTCAGCAAACAAGTGGCTGATGTATGAAGGAAAAGACCACAATAATAATAATATGCTGATGGCTTGGTCTTATAGTTAGTCTAAATCAGAATAGGAGTTTTTAAGTGCCACCTCTTGGATACCACGGTGAAGATACAATAGACTCCACACTGGCTTGCTAAAATTAAAGCATACAACACATTCTACAAAAGCCATCTGTTTGTACATATTGATACATGGAGTTTCTGGTCATACTATTTTTTTCCTGAGGTATGGTTGTTGCTTCCAACTGAATTGACTGTTCCAGTCCAAAACTATGAAACAGCCAACAGACCACAGGAAGACCCTGTTTTGGGCTCCTGTTTGAAACCAGAGGCTACAACAAGCCACTAGCCTTGATTCAGGGCCAAAAAAGGAACAGAACCTAGTTAGGTGCTCAGATTGCCAGAACATAAACAACTGAGATGGTAAAAGGATACGAGTAAGGCAGTGTCTTGTCATTGGGAGCGACTGATTGGAACACCGAATATCATCTACAAAGGCCAAACATCTCTGGCTGGAACGAGTGGTATGTGCCTGAAGATGACAAATCACAGCAAAAGAAGATTTGCAGGTTGCTGCTGAAAGCTACTGCCCAATAGGATTTTTTCCCATTCCAGAGTCACCACATGCATACACATGCACACTAAGAGTCACTGCAACGTTTCTTCTAGATGTCTTTATAACCATTTTAGAGGCTGAGCTGATAAGCATTCAATTGCCAGGATGAAGTCAGGGTGAAAGAAGCTATGCTTAGCCATAAAGGCATTCACTGTTCCAAGGAATTCCAAGTACTTAACTATTTTTGTTTTACTTTGAATTGTGAACATAGCACAAGATATGTTTACATCTGAAAGTCTTCAACACTTCAGAGGCAGTTTATTTTAGGCCCATACCTGACCTTCATGGAGAAAATCACTAAGACTACAATTTCTACCACCAACAAGCTAAATGGGCACAGAAGAGCAGCCTGGCGCAAGTACCTGCTGGGCAGCACCCTCAGTGGCCAGCATTCTGCGTTCCTTCAGTTGCCGGTGTAGGAGCGCCTCCACACCATAGCGCTGTCGATACCGTCTCAAGTATTTCAGCCGCTTCAGGTTTTCGCGTTCTTTAGCCAGAAGTCCCTCTGGGCCTGTCAGGAGGCTGCTACCTGGAAGACACCAAGGAAGCACCCCCAAGACAGACTCAAGGTACTACCATGCCTGTTGAAAATCCCAACAGACCATAAGCAGAGCACCTGTCGTTTTATTGAACCTCTTTGAGAAAATGTTATTTTACTTCAGGCTCAAAATTTCCATCTCTTGGTCCTTGGCTCAGATAAGGTATTAAGCAAAACGCAACATGCAGGCAAAATGGCAAGTCCTTGCAGATCCACTACCTAGTGAAAAGTTTGTCTTATCTGTAAAACTGGGTAACTTCCAGTATCAGAGTGAATACAATGGTTCAACAAATTTTAAAAAGTGATCAGAAGAAAGATTCAGACTACAGTAGAGGATCCTCTGGATCTTTCCTAGCTTATATATTGCCCCAGATGAGGCTTTGAGCCATATTTTTAGAGCATGCATTCCAAAACATCTGGCTTGAATTGAATAGTATAAAAAGCCGTTGGGTTTGTTTGTGCTAGCTGACAGGAAGTTAAGCTTCCAAACAGTGCTGGAAAAGTCACTTGGCTGGTCCTACAAGGCAGTCAACTGTGATACTTTAAGCAAAGTACTCTTCCTTCTATAAAATTCAGGAAATGGGAGACCATTTGTTAGTCAAAGTAGCAGTCCACCTTTCCCTTGATATTTGCACAAGGTTTCCAAATTCATATAGTGTCCAAAGTGTGTTCCATGTTTGTGGCTCTAATGCAGCTCTCTTAGGAGACAGATGGTGCACAGTATTCCAAACTAGGATTTAGCAAATTCCTAATTAAATTGAAGATTACTTAAGCAAGTACCATTTCAGTAAAACATTAACAAGCAAGAAATGAGAACTGTTCAAGCACTAAGCATTATAGCTCTTGGTAAATTGCTTTCAGATGGCTGCCCTAATGAATTTCAGATCAGCATTAGCAAAGCCTCTGAGCTGCATCCCTGAACTAAAGCTGTAACTGCGGCCATTTACCTATGGCTTCATGTTCCACCTTGCGGCTGTGCAGGTACCGGCGTTTCTTCTCCTTCAAGAGGTGTTGAAGCCGTTTGAACTGATCAATATACAGAGATTGCAGTCGGATCAGTTTCTCTCGCATGATCAGTGCCACTTCCTCAGCAGTGTACACACCAGCATGTCTGTGCAAACAGGATCCCATCTAATAATTAAGCAATCTGATGCCCTGCTTACTCACTATTCATTAACAAAGAAGAACTAGCTAAAGCAGGGGTCCTCAAACTTTTTGAATATGGGGCCAGTTAAAAGGCTACGGTGATCGTTGTGGGCTGGTGAGGCGGCATCGGGCACGCGGGGTGGTGGCTTGCTTGGCGATCTCCCAGAAAGTCCAAAATCATCTCCGAGCGAGCGAGCCACCATCTCCCCACCTGTGCTGCGAGGCAGTGGCGAGCACACGCGTACGGGAGGCAGGTGGCGGCTTGCTTGCTCAGAGACCATCTCCAAGCAAGCAAGCCACCACCTCCTCACCTGCACAGCCATGGCAGGCCAAATCCGCCCCGAGGGCCATAGTTTGAGGACCCAAGAGCTAAAGAGTCAGGTAGCAAAAGGAAGTACTTAAGAACAAAGTAGCCAAACAGATTGACCATCAAAAGGGGACATCTGCATTTCCAGCATTTTTCTCTGCACCTTCTAATAGATGATTCTAACTTGGTAAACTTAAAAACAAAGAACACAATAGTTTTCCATAGATACTTCAACGAGTTCAGCAGATTACAACTATGTATCACAGTATTTGGAGTGCTCTTACTACAGATAGTAATATATTGTTACTACAGGTAGCAATAGCTGCTAAAAGCATTGTCATTCTGCAAAGTGCAAGACAATGGTCACATTTGCACAACATGAAAACTCACTCTGTGAATAAGCTGCACAGTCTTTTGTTTTTTGAAAATTGATTTTTGTTGATCATATTTCTGACTGGGACATATGCAATCATGAAATCTGCACCTGTCCCTATCAAAAAACGCATAATTAGTGATGCCAAAGCCCTATTTTAAAAGGAAGCCTGAATTCTGACAGGTGTCAATTCCATGCTCCATAACCAAGAATCTGTACTTTCCCAGGTAAAGTAGAAGACACTGAAAACAGCTAACCACTAAAAACAAGCAAGAAAGCAAGAAGTAATGACAGCATTTGTGCAAATCTTGGGTGCATCCCCCACCATGAAGAAGTTGCAAATCAGTGATGGCCAATCCAATATGGTACATAGGCAATTTGAAGGAAATGAGTTTTTTAAGATTGTGAAAAGCAATCTCTGGGGAAGAGAGAGAAAAAGCCATGGCAGCTGCAAAAAAGAATTGCAGTCACAATGGAGAAGAGTGATGGCCACTCCGAAGCGCTGTCTGGGCACTTGGTGAAGCAGCTGTCATTGGCTGTGGCCTGGACAAGCTTGGAAAGAGTTTTTTGCTGCCTTTGTTGAACAGCTCACTTGCCATTTCACTATAACCATAATGGGGTTGGTTCCCTAGGTTTGGTTAATGTGACAACTCATCTTGGGTACAACCCCTAGAACAAGGGGTTCTAGGATTGTCCACAAGTAAGCTGCCCTGCAGGAAGTGACTGAAATTTGCACTACTCACCCATCCATCGTAGTTAATCACCTGCACTAGGTTGTTGTGTCATGTGACCCGTCAATAAAAGACATTATCACTATTCATTAATGCACTTTATATGGCCCTTCCCTTAAAGTTCACAACTTTCATCTAATACAGAATGTGACAGATAGGGAGACTAGCTGCACATTACTCAGCTACCACAATAACTGCATTGACTCAACAGTTGTTCAATGCATAATCTGTGTGCCAAGTTCTAACAACAAAAATGCATGGAGGACTTTTACATAATTGGAATGACATCAAAGACTACATCTTTTGGAAGCATTCTGAGGCCTGAGTCAGGGGCAGGGGTTCAATAAAAATCCTGATCTACTCCAAGCTGTTGAGATAGTTCAAGACACAAATTTAAGTTTAAATGTTTATAATACAGCTTTTACAAAAGTATACTAGTGTGGGCATGAATGGTCCAGCAAATAAAGCCAACACAGAGTCTATTTTGTGACTAAACCAGAACTGCTAACCAAGATCACATTTGGGCAGCTTTGTTACATCTTTTGTAGCAGGAAGTGAACCTTCCATTATCCCACCACTAACCGACATGAGTATGTCACACAAACAGCACCACTTCTCCCTTGAAAGGAGGCTCACATTGAGATAAACATCTAAACTGAAAGCTTCAGTAATCATTTACAGAAATGGTTTGGTATTTCTTGAAACTGAATTCCTAAAATGTACCATTCTGTAGCAGAAATTCAGACAAGGATCACTGTTCAAAGGACTCACTTGAGGGGGTCCTCTTGGTCACTGTCAATGCTATCTGCTTCACTGTCAGGATCACCTCTCCATGTCTGATCTACAGTAAGAGGTTCCTGCTCGCCATCACTCCAGCTGTCCTCATCTGGAGGGAGAAATCCACTGCATTTGTTATTTGGAGAAAGGTCTGCTAAGGATCTAAAATCCAGTATCAGAAACATATGCAAAGTTTCAAGAACACAAACCAAAAAGAAAGTAATTTTCACAATTTACCAAAGAAGTTCCATGTTGCAAGAAAAAACCACCAGTTAATTCAAAGTGATTGAGAGACAAATCTCACAAGAGTTCTGACGGAATTATTCCTGTTGCTGGCCTAATATGGCAAACTGACTCAAAGAGATATTGAGTGCAAGTGTGGTGTAGTGGTTAAGAGTGTTGGACTGGGACTTGAGAGACTCAGGTTCTTGTTCTCACTCAGCCACAAAGCTCACTAGCTGACCTTAGGGTTTTTGTTAGGATAAAATCAAGAGGAGGATTATGTAATTATCTTGTGTTCCTTGCAGGAAAATGGTAGAAAATAAATAATACCGTCTATTTAGACACAAATTGTCCATTAATATCCTAATTATATGTGAGGCTGATTTGTCCATAATCTGCTACAGAAACTTAGTTTAATATCAAAAGGAAATAAACTACACATTATGGTTGGGTAGCATGCTGACAACAAGCCACATGATCATCCTTTCATTCTTCCAGTACGTTTAACTGGTCATCAGGCTCCAAGGAGCAATTATGCTTTTCGTTAATCAGAAAATAATCCCCCAAAACAAGTGCCTGCAAACATAAGACAGAACATTCTGACAGCAGAAAAGCTGTAAGGCAAGTAAACATGATTTAACTGTTCAGTAATAACACAGACTAACTAGGAAGAGTACCAATATAATGTCCCTCCCTCAACTGAATTCTTACAACCCAAAGTGTAAATACAAATACACATGTACTTCTGACTGCTTCTGTTAAACAAGATCTGAGCTTGAGGCACAGTGCACCAGTGGATATAGGGCACTTCTTGATATACACTGATGGGGAGAATTTGGGAAATTGTACTTTCAGGATTCCCTAATAAAAGCCCAAACTATCTTAACTGTGACTATTTGACCAGCCAGCTTTTGACTTTATTAAGTCAATGCTCTTTATTACTATACAAATAAGTGATTTTCAATTTTAGAGGTATCTGAATGCTGCACAAGTTGTCCCATGCTGATATTCTGCCTAACATATTAAATGCACCTATGTTTCTCAATAATACATCTAACCAAAAACAGATACAGTATCTATTAGAAAATGCTAAGAGAAAAGTCTAGCATTTTCTATTTCCAAAAGTCTATTTTCCAAAAGAGAAAAGTCTAACAATTTCTATTGTTTGGCGTCAGCACTTCAACTACAAAATGGAATTATTTTAAACTGGGATGTAATAAGCCAATACTAACTGCCTCCTTTGCCTCAACAGTTTGCCAGAGGTGCCATTATTGCCTATTCTACTTACCCAGTATCCGGCTAGCTTCACTGCGGCTACTTTCTGCAGTCTGGGAACCCAATTCTGTCTTAGCATAAGAGCTCAATTGACAGAGGAGAGACTCTCGCAAAGGGCTAGGATTAGACTTCTTCATCTGAGCCTGTAGTGCCAGGGCATTTCTGCGAGCATGTTCAGCACAGAATGATACTCTAGATGGGAAGGCAACACAGAAACCAGCAGTTTATGTAAGGCTTCAAAAATACCCAAGAATGAGCAATAGTACTCGTTGCTTTTTAAAAAATAATGGAGTAAAAAATCAATACAAAATATACAATAGATTAAATAATAAGAGTGGATAAATAATTTAGTCACATATAAAGCAAATTTAACATACACTCTTGTAATGGAAAGCCGTCAGGAATTTCCTGTTCCCCTGCTGACCTGGGCAAAATCCTGCCTAGTATTTCCCCCATCCTCCACTCCAGGACCCATCACTGGATTCTGTGCATGACAACCCAAGCTTGGGGAACAAACAAGTTTATTTAGAAAGATAAAACACAGAGGTTGAGGGTGCTTAAACATACAATCTAAAAGGGATTAAAACAGAGTGAAATGGGAAGTTGGGCAGCAGCAACAATACAGTTCACTGCCAATAATAAATCCCAACTCCCAGGGACTTGTCCCACTTGAACTAGAAAATAACAAGGCTAACACTATCCTCAGGTATACTTCAGAGTTCTGCCTCAACAGGATCAAGATGCACAAGGCTTCACAGCATTCTTTGACACAGCAAACAGACAGCAGAGTGGAACCTCTAGTCTTTTATCCTCTATTCTTTATTCCCCACCCCCATCCCAGCAACACTGGTCAGCTGACCCATGGGGCACTTCCCAATCCTTGGGGCCAACCATTTACTACAGGTGTTGGTTGTTAACCAGTCACTGCTGTTATTTCCTGCATCCTTGAAGCCCTAACTTCTGATAACTCCCAAATTACATCACAAAGGGATGAGGATGCCTCCCAAGACCTTGGGTGCCAGATTCCTGCTGTGCTGGCACCTGGATTTATAACATTTGATACAAAGTAAATGCTTTCCTTGCACCCTGGGGCCCAAGCCATTTCAAGTTACAATTCTTTAATAATGAAGCACCAAACAATAATGCAGCTATCACTAAAATGGATACTGGTGAAGTCAAAGCAATGTTGTAAAGTCTGCTTCTGCACTCCCAAGTATTCATGCAGCATATACACATCTATACCCTATCCTTTAAATGAAACGAAGAGGCACTTTTTTTCTTTTTCTCCCTGAACATTGAGATAATTTCAGCCACAATAATGCATGTTTTCCTTGTTTAAAGCATCAAATTACCCTTAATGTAAAAGCACATGGTGTTGTTATAAATCAGTCAGAAAAGACAAAAGTACTTTGAGAATTGTAACATTCTCACAAAATGCTGTGCTCATACATGCTGTGTAATTGTTCCCAGTTGATTCCTCCAGCAAGACTGAGTGGTTAAACCAAACAGGAACTTACCAGAGCAGAAAAGCATAAATTTCCATCCAGAACTTCACACCTTGTGGCTCCTCTAAGAAGCCTAGATCTTGAAACCAACTTCAACCCAACATCAAATTGTGGCTTGCAGGAGGCAGAAGCACAGTTTGAAGGACAAAAGCTTTTCTGCCCTATAACCTATTAGCACCTATTGCCATTCCCTGCTAGCAGGCACAGCTAACTGTGAAAGATCAGGCAACATACATAAGCATGCTTAATTACAGATGCAAATGAATCCACTCACCAAGGTCACATATCAAAAAAGAACAAGGCAAGGGAGAGAAGATGGTTAGGACTATAGTACAGTGGTACCTCAGCTCACGAATGCTTCAATTCATGACCGAATTGGGCCGCAAACATAAATTTTATAAAAATTTTGCTACAGGTTGCGAACTCTGCATTGGGTGATGATTGCGAGCGTGCCCGCCTTCCCTGCATAGGCACAATCGCAGTCGTGCTGGGGGGGGGGGAGATGGCCGTGATTGCGCCCATGCTCCTTGCCTGAGCACGCCCGCCTCCCCCCCGCATCTGCCCCCACTGTGCCCGCCCGCATCCACCTCCCCCCCAGTGCACCCACGATCGTGCCCATCTCACCCCCACACACAATCGCTGGGGGGAGGGGGGAGATGGCCGCAATTTTTTTTGTTTGTCACTTTGCTTCAAATTTTTGTGAGCCCAAAAAAAAAAAAAAAAAAAAAGTTGCAGAACGGATTAACCTTATTTACATTGATCCTTATGGGGAAATCTGATTTGGCTCACGACCAGTTTGGACCACGACCAGAGTCCTGGAATGGTTTAAGTTCGTAAGCCAAGGTACCACTGTAGCAGTACTTCACTAGAGGGGAACTGTATTCCAATGGTTTAACCTCATCAAGGTTTTATAAAGTTACTAGTTAACCTCTAAGTTTCAAGTGGTTTCAATTCACCACTTTGCATTCACATATAACACTAAACCAAGGGTATATCTCCTGATGTTTTGGACTCCAACTCTCAGAAACCCTGTCAGCATGGCCAAATGGTCAAGATTGTTGCAAGGTGCAGTCCAAAACAACCCTGTACTAAATGGGCCAGAGACAGAGTCCCTGCCTGTTTACTGGAGTGTGAGTGGGCAAGCAGTTGACAACTGGCATGCTTGTTCATTCCTGCTCATTCACAACCCACTGCTTGTTTAAGCAGTTAGCTGTTCTAAATAAAGTGGTAAAAAGTTCTAATTTCTGTCTTACAGTTATACAAGTGGGAAGTGCACAAGGTTTGTTGCTGTTCCAGGTATGATAAACTGTAGTTCTGAGTTACTTATGAATGCAGGTTAAGAATGATCAAACCTCAGAGTAGTTCACCTCCAATTTTTAAGTAACTGATCTAGGCATAAAACATAAAACAGTGGCCCTGTGCCACTGACAACAGCACAGTCCATGATCACCTCTTTTTGCTATAAACAACTAGCATGACTTGATCTAGATGTACCACATTACCAAGATGCATGCAATAGTCTGATTCATGCGGAAAAGCATCAGGCAGTTTCATCCCAGAGTTAATACTTTGGTACTACAGCATCCTTTAAATTTCTTAGATTTATTAGCAATTCTTTAATTTAACAGCATTTGGGAATTACTGGTCTAGTAGGGCTAATGGATCTAGGATGGATCCAATAAGTAGTTCAACAAGAGTCAACTTACTTTGAGCCAGAGTATCTGTTGGAAGCTAGTAATTTCTCAGTTGTTTCAGTATTAAATTAGAAGGGTTTTAATCCTACACTTAAAATGAGACTTCATCATCAATTTGCACTGGATAGTGCACAGAACTCAAAATTCACTTAAAAGCACTGACAAGTACATTCTGATACGTCTATTTTACTGTCCCCATGCATTCAATCAGAATGTTAGCAGAGCAACTCCACAATGAAAAAACTATTAAGGGGGGAAAAAAGGGAAGAGAGGAACTTTCTGGAGGTGCCAATTCTAGCAGTGCAATGTGTTTAAGAATCTACCACTACATGAAGCAGCTGCATAAGGCCAGTGTGGTGTGTGTCATCTGCCTAGTTAAGTCTCAAGTTATCACACCACTATGCCTCACATTCTTCTGTTTGCATTAGACTTATTTTATATGTTAGCATTCACAACCTCCACATGTAAGACCAGATGTTAGCCAATTTCCAGAGATAACACAAACGTACAGAACACATACCCATCCTTCTTCTCAGGCTTAGGAGCTGCATTTGGACATCTCTTGCCATTCTTAGTGGAAATGTAGCTACACTGCTTGAAGGGTGCATTCCTGTCTTCAAGAATGTGCTTAATGCAGAACTCATGTCCCTCCAAACGAGGCTGAGAGCATGGACGATGAGCAAAGGCACACAGCAAGGCCTCCTGTGGCCTTGGCAAGGGGGTGAGTCTCCCCCTACTTGAAGGCAAAACATGGATCCGAATTCTGTTCATGCCAGTATCTACGAAGAATATTGCATTAATACATATAAGTCATTAGTAAAAAAGCATACTCAAGCTCTTGTCCCCAAGGCCTTAAACACATGTCTAAGTAAGTGGGCGCATTTTTACACCATATACAAAACTTTCTCTCCCATCCTATCCCCTAAAAGCTTTCTACATACCCTGGGCTCCTCTAACTTAAAAGTAGAAATAACCTAGTACAAGTTTCCACCCGAAACCTTCAGAGTGCTTCATTCAAGCTGCAGATTTAAACGGACCCACCCAAACTCAACCACCCTGGGGACACGCGGCGAGGGGGGGGGAACCAGTAGTGAGCGCCAAGCTCCAGTTTCGGTCGGAGTTCCAGAAACAGCACGAAACGTTTCCTCGCCTCCCTTCTCGCTCCCGCCCCGGCCATGTTCCTCCACATTCTGCTCCCCTGTTAGGCCACGCTCGTTTACCCTTGCAGTTGCCGGCAGCGAAACGGTCTGGGGGTGCTTGGGCGGAGTGCGCCCTTGTAGCAGGACACAGGAAACACCAAGGGGGAGAGGGAGAAGTTTCCGTACGGCGACACGCGGGCACACGCATATCTTTGCACTTTAAAAAGATAAACCCCTTTGAAAAGAAACTCCCTCTCCACCTTCTCCCAGTACCCTTGAGGGGTTTCACATAACCCAGGCACCCTCAGACCTTGAAAATTCCGACCAAGCCGCAGCCACCCAAGTTCTGCCCTCGATAAAGGGCAATTCGCCGACGGCCCTTTTCCTATCGTTTGCCCGTGAGAGACAGCGCAGAAAAACCCCGCACCCAACTGCCGACACCGCGACCTCACAACAGGACGATGAGAGGAATAACGCCCCTCACCTTGGCCCTTCCCGCGTCCGCCATCTTACCTTCTTCCTCTCGCTCGAGTTCCCTCACTAAGGCCTCGAGCTAGCTATCGCCAGCCAATACGGGGGCGCCAAAAGCGAGGACAGGATTGGCTAAAGACGGTGTCATTCGAGCGGGTGGACGCGGGAAGGCGGTGTCTCATCATTCTTTCCAAAAATTGCTCACGAGCCGTGCGGGACGAGAGGAACGAGCCTTGGCTGATTATTCTGGCTGTGCGCGAGGTCCGGGGTTAAGTAGGCGCAGGTAGACGCGAGTGTTGCGCTTCAGCAAACGCCGTTCGAGCCCAGGAACAACTGCTCTCCACGAACTACGGCGCGGTAGTGGGCTGAGCGTAGTTCCTGTTCAGGGCAAAGAGTTTCCTCTGAAGGAAGGGGAAGTTTAACCCTTTCCCCCATTAAAAAAAAAAAATCGTGGTCCAGTTGACACTTTACCTTTTCATACTTGTGAGAGAAGGGCTGCCCTTGTGATTCCTGCACTTCGTAAGTACGGTCTGCACACAAACCGTTTTGTAACACGTTAAAGGTTTCTTACGGTATAAGCTGTCATGGGTTAAAGCCCAGCAAATGCATGAAGTTGCAGATTCGGCGCGCGTGCACACGGTTTAAAAATTATAAATAGTAACATCAAGTTGCAATGAAATACAAATAGCCCAATAATTATAAGAAAACGTTAGTGCAACTGTAGTGGAACAGGAAGCCATTACCTACAAATATTGAAAGTGTAGTGCTGCTTGAAGATTATTATTAATAGAATAATAAATGCAAAGGCATCACTGCAGCTTGACATGGCAGAGGCACCAGCCGTTTTGAACCGATATAGCAAAATTGACAGTGGAATGTGGTGCACTTGGGTAGGCAGAGCAAAGTTCTGCACTGTGAAGTTAATATAGTAGTTATGAAGAAGAGTAGTGCCTCAAAATCTGCATAGTGTGACTTTACAAAGGACAGTCCTCTGTTTGAAGGGCTATCCAGTCCAAGTCACTATCATCACGTGGCACTGAAACAGCATATTGAGTGGATGCGCAAGCCACCTGGACACAGATGACATACTGTGTTATTTAAAATATATATTTAAATTACAGTACTTATTTCAATTTTAGGCAAAGTAGCATGTTTTGGTGATGTCCAAGTGGCCATCCTAAGATTAAAGCCCTCCTTGGTGCAGTTACTCAAAAGCAAGTAGAACTAAATTATTTGCTAGCACTGTTACAAAATCATTGGGTAGGGTTCAAATTTCATTAAAACAGTTACAATATAAAGCTACAAAAATTCGAAGAGATTACTAAATTAGGCCTTAAAATCAGCACATGCCAGAGTAAACAGATTAATATGGGAGAATGTAGTTTGTCAGTTTACCTGGTCCCAGGTTGTTAGAGCCTATTTTTAGCCAATATCACCACTCTGAACCTGACTCAACAACATATTGCTTGCCAGTGTGGTTCTCTGAGCAAAGGTACAGTATGCTAATAGCACACTTACTACCCAACAATCAACCTGCCAAATTCTGCTCTATGTGCAGTCTCCATTTGCAAGGGAAGCCTCAAGTGGAGCATATTTCAGAATTATTTGCCAGGGTGCTTGCAAGGGGACCCTGCAAGAGGATGGTCAAGATATCATCTTGCTGGTGCGAGTGTAGGATATGGAATAATCAATTCAAGTTGTGACAACCCAGGTTCAGGCTGGGCATCAGGAAAAGCCACCTCACTGTCATAGCAATAGGACAGTGGAATGAGCTGCCTAGAGAGGTGGTGGGCTTTCCCACATGAGACACATTCAAAAAGAAACTGGACGGCCATCTGAATGGGATGGTGTAACTTGGGTGTCCTGCAACAGCAGGGGTTTGGACCTGATGACCTTCATGGCCCCTTCCAACTCTATTCTATGATTTTATGATCTGCATGAAACAGAGTATGGGACAGAGTTTGGTCTCTGTGAAGACAAACCAGGAACAAGAAATTGGCACCAGCTGGAGCACTTCATGCTATGATTGGGAAGATGTAGGGTAGAACGCAGATTAGTTTGCACCAATAGTTGCACGGCAGAAAAGTGTATATAATACACAGCTTATATACAAACCTTTTGCAATATGCTTTCTCCAGTTCTGTATTACCAGACCTTCATGTATATATTTATTTTTATTAGGGGTATTTCTAACCCGTCCATTACTGCATGTCTCTGGACGGCTTACAATAAATCACCCAATAAATAAAAGTATGAGGCTGAAGAGTTATAGCCACATATTCTATTATTCTACTCCTTGTTGTAGGGGGTTAATATGCTAGTGAAATTATGTTGTGACTGGGTGTTAAGTCAATCATACGCATTGTTCTGACATGCCAGTGCAGGTAGCACGATTTCTTACCCACCACCATTCCTGAAATCAACCAAGTGAGACTGGTAGTAAATTGTTCTTAACATTAGTGAAGGAGCAAAGGATTTGGTGTGCGCTCTTCCCCCATGCCTCTACCCATTTTGACAGCTATCTTTGTGGGTGGAATTTAAGGAGTTTTAAGATCTGCAAGCATCAGCCAGTTCCTCAGGCTATGAATCTTGAGTATAGGATTCTGCTCCAAATCATGTTACAGAATTTGTAGTCCTTACTAAAATGACCTTCCATAGATCTTTTACATTAGCCAGGTAAAACATATGATGCTCCGGATATTGTTGGGTTGCAACTCCTATCAGTCCTTTCCAGTGTAGTCAAGCATTGAGGAATGATGGGAGTTGTGTGGCTTGCCAGATGTTGGTGGCCTATATTCCTCACCCTTGTTTTAACAGGGTACCATCAAGATGCCTAGATGCCAAACCAACCTCCCGATTTTAGAAAAATGAACTAGACTTGTGTACTGAAAAGGAAGAATAAATGTGTGGTACTGCAGAGAATTCAGCTGCGTGGAAATCTAAGCTTTCATTAATAAAATGTTCTAGTCCTTACGTTTGCCAAGATATTCTGTGTTTGAAAAGGCAGCAGAGAACAAAAGCAGCCAGATTTCACATGGTTATGGTGGCAGTTGTTCAGTGCATTCTGTAATTAATTTCCCAACCTCATTTCTCCCAAACCAGCACTTTGCAATAAGAAGTTATGCAAATTTATTCAGCTCTGCTTAATGTTTACAGGTACTTCTTTGGTGTACAATCTGGATTGCCTGGACACAGAATTCAGTTTAATTTTTGTCAATAGCCCTATCATAATACATCTCAAAATATAAAAAGAAGCAGGTTCTGACTATTTAATAGAGCTTGCTAACCTTTATATACTTTCTGCTAATGGGGTAGATAGAAATCGAATGAATAAAATAGGTGACTAAGAAAAAACTCAGCACTTCTTTCTCCATTTACATGACTTATTTGCAAATCAGTGAAAGATTGAATATATAAAATCCAAGGGTGTAAGCAACCAATTATCCATAAAATATGTAAATGTCAGGCTACTTAACTTAAGTTCCTAACAGTTCAAAAGCCTAGGGGTACCAGCACATGTGGGCTAACCCAACTGCATGAAATTAGAATTATTAGAATTCCCAACTCAAAACATTAACAGGCACAATTCAGGAGAGTCAGTGCACTGCAGTGGTTTGTGTCGGACTAGGACTCCAAAGATCCAGACTCTAGTCCCCAACTTGGCCATGAAACTCATTTGGTGGCTTTGGGCAAGTCACTGACACTTAGCCTAACCACAGGGCTGTTGTAAGGATAAAACAGAGGAAGATGACCATGTAAGCCACCATGGGATTCTTGAAAGAAAGATGATATAAGTTTATCCCCATATTCCTAGTAATTGCTATTCATTTCAATGTGACTTGCACTAAATTCTAGCAAGCACCATTGAAATGAAACATACTGTTCTGCACTGGGCCTGAAGACTTGTAAAACAGCTTACAATACTGCAATTTTGGTTGAAATAGGTATTGTTACTGCTGACATTCTGAAAAATCTATTGGACTAACCTAATGAAAGTACTTGTTTTCCCTTGGTCTGGCATGAAATGAAAACTGGTGCATCAGAAAAGCAGAAGAGTAAATTCTTCATGTCAAAGAGTAAAGAGCTATAAGCGGGGAGCGAAAGGCAAGAGTTCTGGATACAGAACTGGAGATGCTACAAGTCACCTTATCCAATATTTTTGACCAGGAATGTTCTCTGGTGCATTCAAATGTTAGCATGTGTATTCTTAGGAGCTCTTGCAGTGATTAAAAAGTACTAAAACATACCAAATGTGGAGACAGTACATTTATTGAAACTTAGAATAGTAATAATATGAGCTGGGAATTAGAAACAGTTTCTGAAAGATAATGTGAAACCAGGCCCAAAGTTTGCAACCCTCAAAGCTAAGGCATCATTGCCTTATAAATCCAGAGGTGGTGGGAAAGAATTACTTTCAGAGAAAACACATCAATGAAATCCAAACAGATACTCACAGCTGAGTGTGTTTTGCTGTTTTAAAATTGATGCACCCTCTGAAACCACCAGCAATTAACCTCCCTTAAACAAGATTGCAGACATAACCATTTCTAGCCTTGTTTGTTCACAACTTTTAGCTGCTACTGAACACACTGGAGCAGAGCTTTAATGATATGCATCAGAGAAAATATTCCATTCTGGCCAAGAAAACCACATTTTATAATATACTAGTCTTCCCCAACCTGGAAACTTCCAGGTGTTCTAGATTTCAACTCCCATCAGCCCCAGTCAGTATGGGTAATGGTCAGGTATGCTGTTTTAGACTGCTGCTAGTAGTCTAAAATATCTAGAGGCCCCAGGTTAAGGAAGAACACACTACATGACTCCTTAAATTAATTTCAGGAGTGTTTTCAGAGCCATGAAAATACCCTGAAACTCTTTGCTGAACTCAAGAAACAGCAAAGCCTGGATTTAAGAATACCAACTCCAAGTGTTCCATTCAACTGCTATGATGCAGCAAACCAAGGCTAAATCTTATTGAATGAAAAGCACTCTGATGCGATCTACAGAAACACAATACTGCCACTTTAAAAGACTAGCCCCATGTAATTTTAAACTCAGAATCAGAGACTCAGGTCAGAATGTTATGCCTTCTGCTGTACAACACTGAATTGGAATACCTCTCTGAAGTCAACTTTAGTAGGGTCTATTCCCACACATTAGGCATCAAACCAATTCAGGACACGCTTAAGCTGGCCAGTTTTATACTGTTGACAGACATCTTTAAAATGTTCAGACAAGGTTTCCATAAATCTATGTAGATCTTATCAGCTCTTTTCATTTATCTATTCTCTAATCCAAATTTGCCTGATTCCATTTCCTGTCGTCTTTACATATGCTTTGAAAAGCTTTTTTTTAATTCTAGCAACATATGAAAATCTCATATCCCATAATGCAGTTTAAATACAATTTAAAGCATCCCAGAATCACGATTACTGTTCTAACATTCACATAGGCTTTTCCTTTCCAGCTCCTCATCTTCCCCAAATACCCAACTTTCCCCAAGACAGGTTGCTGCAGTGACCCTTCTTTTTGAAGGCACTCTCAAGAGTTCCCATGGGAGCACCTAGTCCCACCAGACTTCATAACACAGTCCCCTTGAACTTTTTCATGCCTAAGTAGCCATTATATTCTAATGACTGCATTTAGGTGCCAAGCACAGTAACAGAGCACCCCAATGGAAGTAGCGTGATCAAAGGCAGGCAGGCAGAGGTTAAGAAAGCTATGTTCCTACATCCTCCCTGCTCAGCAGAAAGGGCTGAACAAAGCTAGCAACTCTCCAAAGCCTTTTTTCTTCTTTTTGGAAATAATGGGTCTGCATTTGTCTTGACTCACCTGCTGGTAAGCAACCAAAAACCAAGATGGGGAGAAACTAGGAAAACTCCTTCGCTTATCTGACCATTATTGCTCATGGTCAGTGTTTATGCCTTCCTCATATAATTTCTGTGCCTTTTCCCTCCTTTCAAACCTTCTCTGCCTCCATTTAGAGGGAAGCAATTTCCACCAGAGCCAGACACTTAAAAGAATAAGCTGACAGAACCCAGCCTCCATTACAACTTCTGCTATAATCCTTTCTTTTGTCCACCTTAGAAAAATAAAATCAACACTAAGAACATATAACTTATTTTAAATTATTTTAAAATGTCTTTAAGAGAAAGACTGTGACAATTTAAATAGCCCTGTGCTGTCTCCAGATGGTTTGTGACCTTCAACAGCTCACAAGTTAAGGTCAGTCTGATAGGAAACATATCCCCATCTTTTTTCAGTAGGACCAGAAGGGAGTAGGGGAAGCACATGGAGAAAGATGGGCATACCTTTTCACAGCTTCAAGGGCTCCACATTCTCATACCAATAATAAAAAACATTTTAAAAAGGGGAAAGGGCATTCACACAAGGCAGTGGAGAACACTATGAGCAACCTGCCCTTGGCAGAGAACAGCCCAAACTCAGTAGTTAAAAATGGTGATCACTTGGGGAGTGGAGGCAAGGGAGGGGGAGGTTCCGAGGGCAGTGGGGGTGGCCGTGGCTTATCCACACTTGCAGTAGCCCTGGGGTTCAAGTATTCACCATATGAGTGTACAAAGTCAAAGGAGGCTGGCTGAGTGGGTTGCATGCCCTGTGCACTGAGGAGGGAGTGCAGCATGTTCACTGTATCCTGGTAGTCAATTGCCTGGTTCATGTTATGCCCATTGGCCCCTGTAGTGCTCTTGTCCAGTTTTCCGTGAGCCCCCCTGGCTTTACTGCCCTGGGTGAAAGATAAACCAGCTCCATCTAAGCTGTGTCCCGGATGCTGAGGGAAGGGAAATGGCCCCTTTGAACTTTTACTTATTTTTGACTGGTGTTCATGTGCTACAGTTGAAGCCTCCTCAGAAAGTGGTCTCTTGCGGGAAGAACAAGTTGGGATATAGCCAACTTTATGGGATGCAATGCCACTCTGGTTACCATGCTTGGAGTCCCCTGGTCGTTTGGTGCTGGCAACAGGTTGTGCATGTGAATGTTTGTGAGAGTGGTGGTTGTGATGGTGGTGATGGTTAGAAGTGTGGACCTTGTGTTTTTCTTTGTGCTCCCCCCGGTTCTTGGTGCTACTTTCATCAGTCAGACTGTGACGCTCCAAGGGTGTAGGCACCTTGATGCGCATTTTTATTTCCTCTTGCTTGATAGAAGAAACAGCAGGTTTTTCTGCAGGTGCAGGCAGCCGCACTTTGAGGGCAGACGATGGTTTATCAGCCTTTTCAACGGGAGGCCGTTCAGAACCATCAGGGTTGCCACCCAAAGGTATTTTCAGGATAATAGGAGATGGGTTATTCTCTTGTTGCACATCCCTTTCTCGCTGCTGCTGCACAAGCAAGTTCTGAGCAGCATAGGCATACTGAGAGCGAACGTTAGCCTCCATGTTCTCCAGCTGGCGTTTCTGTGCAGCCAGTTCCTCAGCATGTTTCGCTCGGTACTCTTTTAATGACACTTTTGCCAACGGTACATTTTTAATGCTCTGTTTAGAGAAGGAGCCACTGCTGCTGTCATGATGTGGATGATCCGCACTGGCAGAAATGTCATTAGCTCTGTGGCTGACTTCTGGTTTATGTGCCGGGTGCTGAGCCATCCAGTTGTCTGACATATCGGTATTGTCTAGGTCTCCTGGAGAGTTTCCTGCTGTAGCTGGAAGTGAAGCCATGGCTCCTGCAGTTGAGGACGTAGACATACTCATCAACCCTGCAATGGTTGTGTCAGATGCGCTTCTGGAGATCATGCTGAGAATTGTCTGTTCTGAGAGGCAGTCATCATCACCTTGCTCATCAGTCTTTGACTTCTTGGCTGCTTGGCAAGCCTAAAACAAAACAAAATATAATGTAGTGTGCTAGATTCTTCTCCTGCTCAGCCTGGGCAGGGCTCAGTCACCTGTAGCACTTTAACTTCCATCATCCTTCTGCACTGGCCTTGCTACAAAACAGTGGTTACAAGTTGCCCACGCCACCTTAAGCTATACAGACATGCAGCTGTCCTGTTGCAAGTGTTACTTCATTCTCAATATTGTTTTTAATTCAAAAATTTAAGCCTACAGCAAAGTACAATATATTCAAGTACAATATATTGAAGTATATTGCACTTCAATAACATACAACTGGTGGCCACTAGATTAGGGCAGTTCTCACAATAATTGATGCTGCCATTGCAGAAACTTCCCTTAATGAGAATAAAAGGTCCTCTGTCACCTTACCTGGCTTCCATTTAGATTATGGATCCAAATCAGTGTACCATTTTTTACCTAAAACACTGTATGGCTTAGGATCTTAATAACTAAAGCAGGGATGGGGAACCTGCGGTCCTCTAGATGTGTGCTGCACAACTTGCATAATCCCTGGGCTGGAGCTGATTAGAGTCCAAAATCTGGAAAACTACAAAGCCTCTAGCCCTAACAGGACACTTTTTCCTTCTGTATCTATCTGTTCCTTAAGCTCATCAGCAGAGGCCCTCCTCTTTTGGCAGTGGCCTCCCATGCTCTACAAGGAGAGGCTGCCCTGTACTGGTTTATTGCCCACTTTAATGCCCTTTGTTGTATTCTTAGTCTCACGGAACTTGTTATCATTTTATTCTTAGTCTTTTGTCTTTTCATGATTGTTATTGACTGCTTCCTTCAGTTTTAGCTCATTTATCAAGTTGACTTTTACCGAAGTTGGTATTTGTTTTCTTCAATGTTGGGATGTGATATCATTTTAATGGTTATCTTGTGTTTAATTTTGTTTTATTTGGTTTTGCGTGTTGCTTAATGGAATGTATTTCATAATATATAAATGAGAGTTTCTTGGCTTTTTCAATATTCCAAGTAGATTGTTTTCAAAAACAATCTTTAAAGGCATGGTTTTCAATAGCACTAACAGCAGTTTAAAGAAATGAACACTAGGTTCAAGCAACAATTCAAACAGGTCAGCTTTCTGTCTGACAAGACAGCCTATCCCAAACAATTCCCATGAACATAGAAATATATTCATCTAAAGATCAATCCACCACTTCAATTCTTTATCACAGAAGTTAAGAGATTTCTACTTAAAAAGCAGTTCACTTGATTATGATTATTGTTCTGTGTCAGTTAACAAAGTTAAGTGCACAGTTTTGCCAGTTCACACTGAAAGTGTACAGTCCAGCTTACCCGCCAATTCCTGATTCGTTTCAGCCGGTTTGGAGTTTTCTCAAGGATCTGCAGGAATTCGTGGGTTAGTTCTGTAAAAGAAGCACAAGAACACCAGGTAGTAAGAGGCACAGCGTTACGGAACAAGGTCGGGAGGATGTTTTAATTTCCGCACTTGCCAGCAAGAGACGGAGCAGTCTCAGGAATAAAAGCACTGGCTCAAGTTATAAAATGTATCCCACTTAAATTCTTTCTATTCTTTATTTCCATGCTGAATACCTTGGTGAGAAAGGCCCTTAGAAGAAAGATACTCAGTTAATGAAGTACCTCTTTACTGCACATGGGAACATATTTGACCTTGCTCCAAACTTACCATCCAAGAGTTCCAGAGTTACAGTGCCATCAACGTACTCCCACCAGTGCTTCCCGTCCGTGGAGACTGGGATCTCCCAGTTGGACCACTTACAGGCCAAGTGGATGCAGACGCAGGCCACAACGGGAGGGGTGTACTGCAGGCTGAAGGTGGTTAGGTGAAGGCTGACATCACCAGCAGGGAGAGAGAAACAGAAAGCTGTAAGCTCCCAAGCCTGAACGGCAGCAGCACACACAACCGCCCGCTGGACAGACACTGCAAGAAGTGAGCATCCCTCAGCTTTAAAATCTGTTATAATCCTGCATGTTCAAGTCTGCCATGCTTGAACTATTGTTTCAGCTTTTTCAAACGAGGTTTTCCAGGAGCTCCTGTCAGCCTGGAGCTCCAGGACCCCCATATGACCTACACAACAAGCAAGGGAAACATTTTGCATGCTGTACTAACACCAAACATAGGAAGAGTGAGCTGGATTATGCAATAGCATCTGGGCATAATCTCAGTAAGTTTGGGAAATTTGGTTCCTTCAAAGGAATTTATTTTACCTGGTCAGAGACCTCCTGTTATGTCAATGTGATCACTGACAGCTATAAAATCTACATTAGACACAAAAGCTTGCACTCCACCAAACCTTAAGACAAATTATAGCTCCCTTTAAATTTTGGCTCATCCTCTAATGCCAGTTGTCCAACACAGCAAAGAAGCTTGTATGACAAGAGCCTATTAAGGAACTGGGTCAAGAAACTTTGCATGACAAAGATGCTAGTGCGAAGACATGGCTTTACTCTACTTGTGGTAAGCTTATATTCCAATCAACTATTCCCTGGAGATGCATGCAGTGCTATGTAGGGCTTTGTAAATGGTGGCTGCTGGGCAAAAAGCTGTCCTCGTGAGGCTGTGCTTGCAGCTCTCTCCCTCCCACCAGTCAACAGAGGTGAAAGAGGGTTATGGAGGGAGCAGCAGGGGATGTGGCAATGAGACTTACAAAAGACCTATTTTGGAGGATGAAGCCTCAAGCCTGTTCTACTTCCATCCACTCTTCTAAAAGAAATTAGCCTCCAGCAGAACCAGTTGATGAACAGGATGCATAACCTGCATCATAAATAGCAGCCACAGCTATATGCTGCTCTAAGGAAATTCAAATAAGCAAGTTTGTCTTTTATTTCTGCATTTTTAATTTTTTCCATAATTCAGTGAGTAAAGGGCAAGGAATTTGAGAATTCAAGCCCTATCAATTGGTCAGTGGAAGGCCTAACTTAAGGTTACATCAGACAGAACCTTTATTATTAAACATCTGTAAATTATTTTTAACAATTATTCATCATGATGCCGAATGCTGCAGATGTAAAATTCCCTTCAGTTCTATATAAAGTACAAAGTAAAAATAGTTAAAGATTTGCTTCACCAGACACTAAGACAAAGCTAGGTTGCACTAATGTATTTAAGTAAAAGATATGGAACTCAGCAGTGGTTGCTAGAACCAATCTAGGCACAAAAAAATTATAAAAGTGAATGCTGCAACAAGGTTCGAAGTCATAAAGAGAATACTATTTCTGGAGAATTCAAGATAAGAAAAAAGCCACTCAAAGCAACAATTCTGATTAAAATTCTAGTTTATTCTTCCAAAAGCACCCTTAATTCCTTTCAACTCAAAAGTGTCTGTTAACTTCTAGATAGAACCATGCCATCTAGTTCTTAGCACAGTTGCTTTACCTGTGCTTATATAGCAGGCTTATATAGAAAGTGAGAATTGCTTTTCAGTGACCAAAAAGGGAAACTTTACAAAATATATTTTTTTCTTTGCTACAAGCAACTAGTACTATTGTGAACTTATTTACAAGGGTATTTTAGCTCCTGTTTCGAAACCCAAACATACTTTGTTCTATTGAGAACAAAGCCTCATTTTATTCCAGGGTAAGAAATCTACTTCTCTGTTATCCAAGTACACATTTTGAATATGATCTATTTTCTGTGTTAAGATTCTTTAGGGGTGATTTTTTTTTAAAAGATGTCCAATGCATGGAATCTTTCTCCTTGGGGAAATGTCTGCTACAATGGTCAAGAATCTCATTCCCAGATAAAAATAAGAGATAAGACTGAGTCTTCAACATCTACCTGTTGGTAGCCATGAAGTAAGAAGTCTGTGCCAGATCCTTGCTGGCTGAAAAAGAAAGAGACATTCAGAGGTTAGACTTGCCAAACATCCCTTTTTGCATTCAAGTGTTTCTGCTGGGAGTAACAACAGTTAAGCAATGTAGTATCATACAGATTATGAGTTTACTTTGATTTTGTGTATACTCATCTGTAAAAAATGCCTTCTTTAGTATTTTCTTTTTGAGACTATTTATCCATCTCTTTACCACTATATTAGGCCAAGAAAAGTGGAGACATCATAATGCAATAACACCCCTTCCCACCTTATTTACTTCCTTTAACATGAATTTCCAAAGCACACTTGAAGCAGCATATCCTTGGGGACAACTGGTCAGCTAGAAAACAAAGCCATCTGGAAACAAACAGAATCATAGCCATGCTAGATATCACTTACCTCGAACCAGCTGTGTGCATTTCACCACATGAGTGTGAGGATGATCTATGGTGATTTCAAACCCTGGAAAAAACACAGAACAGTTAAGACTGTGGATAGAAGATGCTTGCATTTCTACATACCACACATGCCTCTGGTTCCTGGGAGGCAAGGCAGATAGCTCATCCTTCCCCTTCCCATTAAAGAGCACGCTCTTTACTCAGGTGAAAGCAGGACATCTTCCTAGGCTCAAATGTATGAGTTATCCAGCATTAAAAAATGACATGTTGTTTCTGAAGCAACTATATTCCATGCTGAAAAGATCACACTGAAATATAGTCAAACATTCTAAGTAAAGAAATATCCTACATTAAGATAACAGGAAGAGAAAATTCTAGTATCTGCTTGGAGTTTATCCTGTCACTTTAAAAATGTTTTTCTCTTAAAGCAACAGATGTTAACTTAGTTTAAACTTTATATTCTTCAGCTCAGGTTGTGTATCTCCAGGAAAAACAACCCAAATGCTTAAGCAAGCTTCATTGTCGGGTTAAACAGTAACTGTTACAGACACAAAGTTAGTTATGCAGGTTATATCTTTATAGTATTTTGTTAAAAGTTTGGATTAATCTGTTTGTCCTGTGTTATAATTCAAATTAATTTCCTTAATGGCTGAAATCCATGTGAATAGTTTGCATGTAACTGGGAGGATTAGAAATATATATTATTTATAGTGGTATGTATATGTAAGACAAGTGACTAAAGATGTAAGAAAGTTGAAATCTAAGATGTTAAAAGTCTGTAACAGTTAAGAGGTAGCAAAAGCTCAGTGCCACCAGCAATTCATATTAATTAGCCTGGATACCCATTTCCAGTCCTGTGTTAGCAAGCTGATTATACAATTAAAACACTGGGTTGTCAAGTTGCTAGGTTTCAATCCAGAGTACAATGCTTGGAACCTGATCAATATAAATCCTGTTAAGGAGAAAAACCCAAACAATTTTGCACATTCATATCTGTTCATAAACACAAGCATATCAATATAATCACCCTGAACAAAACATATAAAACAAATTATAAAATAGCTATTGTGACAAGGTTTGTCGCCTGGACTGATGCTCTCCCACATTGGCGAGCTGTGCCTCTGCCCTCCAGCTGTGAAGAAGACTGGGATTAGACTCTCCACTCTGCGGAACTTTGCTGGGTCTGAGATTCATGAAGCAGCCCGTCCGCTTGGAAAAACTTACCCAGGGTCTGCAGTATTATGCTCTCTAGAATGACCAGGTCTTGGGCTTGTTGCAGGTAAGCCTGGGGTTGAGAGGACAGGCAGGTTACTTGTGATGAGGCACTCTGTATCAAGCCTGCATATTTTTAACACTCTCTTGGGGAGGCAAAAAAATTAAGGGGGAACCTTTATCCTATTCCGTGCTGGAGAGAACTGGCAAAAGCATCCCATTCTCTGAAAAAAATTTTTTGCTGTTTTTGCTCTAGAGAAGCTGCTGTTGACTCCAAATTGGCTTCAACTGCCAGGAAGTGCACACTAAAAATGGTCCTTTCCTCCAATTTTTTAGCTTCAGGATAAAACTTCCCCCTTGTTGGCAAGGTTAGATGTGCTGGTCCTGTCAGGAAGGGCTGTGGTGAAACAGTGTGCTTAACAATCCTCCTGTTTGAATGGCAGGGACAGGATTATATTTCAAACATCATTTTATGTGTCACCATAAGAGGGTGATCCTGGCAGGCAATGTCCACTCCTTAATGCAAACAGTGCTACACACCTGACTTTCATTTGTAATGCTCTAGCAGGAACATATAGCACAGATAAGCATTTTGGACTGCAAAAACTGATAGCTTTCTGTACTATGCACCAGCAAAATTCAAAAGCTAATTACTACTGTTCTAGAATTGAGTCACATAGTTGAACAAAGCAGTAGCACTCCAGATCCAAAGGAGCATGAGGAAATTGCACTGCCAGGATTTGTTTTTTCCCTCCCTCACTTGATGAGCACTCCACATGGTCTGCAGATTTTTAGCTACTTACCTCATTCCGTGTATCAGGAGGTGCCTCTTGAGGATGCAGACATGCATGAGCAACCTTGATGACATGTTCCAGCTTTCGAGGTTGCTCCTCCACCTTGGCTGCCAGGAAAAGAGCAGCTGGTGCTACAGACTTAAGAAAGAAAAGATATATGGCTATTCCATCCTCCAAACAACAGCAAGTATTATTGGTCTCACATGTCCAACAAAGTTACCCTGATGACACACATTCTTAGAACTGAACAAATACACTATTTGACTCAATATTCACAAGGTGCATTTCACACATGAACAGGTTGATTTGACAAGGCCTCCTCAACCTGCTTAAACCTCTACTCATAGTGTACAACCTCAACCCCAACCCCATTTTACAATTTGAAAACTAAACAACATTGGATTGTCAATGCTAAGCTGACAATATATTTTCAAGTCCTTCATTTTAAATGTCATGTACAAAAAAAGGACAACTCTATGCAGAATGTAGGTTTCTGGGAAATTTAGACTTTCTCAAAGATACACAGCTCTGGTATTTGTGGGCATAGGAAAAAATGGAAATAATATCCACAGAAGGGTGAAGATATGTGCAAACTCCCATTACTCTCCACAGATTCTATGAAAACCTCATTAATACAATCAGAGTAAATTAACAAAAATACACAGTCTCTACAAGGAATTAAGAGCACAAGTTTTCCTGGAGCATAATACTGCTGATCCTTAAAGGATAAGCACAGATTTGCAATCAATCTAAGGTCTAACTTGATTCACACCTAATCAAGGAACAGAAATTAGGACTCTGTAAATTGGGAATAAGCAATAAACAGTTTCTAGGGAAAGGGCCTTCTCAGCTGTGGTGCCCATGAGTTAAAATGTGTTCCTTTGGGAAGCTTGCCTAGCCCTGTCCTCCTCTTTAGGGACCAGATCAAAATGGAATCCTTTCAGCAACCATTTGACCTAAGTGAGAATTAAAACATTCCTCTTCCATGTATTTTCACCAATAACAGTGAAAAGTAGGATGAATTCTTTTAATTAAAAATTATCAACTTCACAACAACAATGCACTCTTTAACCAGATGTCCGTAAAAATTATTGCATACTACATTTTCAACAGACTTCCACTATAGTACCTTGCACACACCCTCTTTCCCTTGACCTGCTCACAGAAAGAACATGTATCTATTCTCAATTCCAACAGAGAAGCTAAAATAGGTAAAGTGATACTTACATTTCGATGAAACTGGGTAAAAGACTGAACCATGTAAAACCGATGCATATAGACAATAGCAGTGTTGATAGTGAGTTGAGAACTAGTGGCTCATAGTTAAGGAAAAAGCAGTTTTGAAGTTTCTAATTTAAAAATACTAATCTATCTGCAAAAGTATAGGTTTTAACACATTGCCATGCATGTTCTAATCTTCTAAACCAGTATTTGTTTTTGAATGTGCATACATCATTGTATGCAGAATGTTGCCTTATTGAAAATTGTCCAAGAAATTCAATTTCTATAAAATCTAATTCAGACTTGGGCTGCAATCCAGTTCACCCTTATCTGGGAATACACCCCACTGAGCATAGATTATAGTATTAAAGACTTTGGTTTAAAGCCACATACAAATATTTAGGTCAGTCTCCCTATGCAAAGTACATCCAGTAGGCAAAGATTCACTGACATTTGTTTAGCGATAACCACAATCAATATCAAAGCTTAAAGGAACTTGGTGGTGTATTACCTAAAAATATGGGGCACAAGAAATACCAATATTAATGTGCTCAAATAGAAGAAATGCACAAAAGTCAGTGATGGTTCACCTCTCCAAGGTTTGTCTTTTTGCCCAGCTTATCTACATTTACAGCAGCCCTAGGGTTCAAGTATTTTACTAAAAATGATCCCCCTAAAATTTTGGTGCTCTTTCCAATTTCACCAGGATATAGAATCATGAACCTAATCATAAAAGTCTACCAACAAACAGATTTGTATTCTTATTATTATTCAAAAACTGGCTTCTCTACGTTGTAAACACTGGGCCTTGCCATCCGTTAAAGTTCTAACTTGAGTTCCCCAGATTTCAAGCGTAATCTTCTTTCCCACGAACACAGCAGTTTCGCCTCAATCACCTCCACAGCATGAGAGCAGCGCCCCATAACCCACACGTGCTTCGGACTCCAGCACTGCCTTCCGAAGTCGAGTCGCAGTCTTCACAGGAAGCGGCCTAACAAGGCGCCCCAGCCTTACACCAATTACTAAACATTTCAGGGCCCTGGTCTTAGTACCACTTCTCACCTCACCTCCAGCAGGTTATTTTGCTGGTTAGCCTAAAAGCTGTTTACTTAACCCTCAGCTGGGCCTAATTTGTCTAACCAAAGCCTACTCCCTCCGCCCTGTTCAACTCAACACCGGCTTGAGCCGCGGCCTACTCTTCGCACGGATACACATTAAGGCGTTGGCCCATATCCTGGAGCAGGTTAGCTGCCTGCTGCCGGTACGACAATTCCTTGTCCGGGTCGAGCCCGGCGCGGCGGGAAGGGCTCCGCGCCAGCTGTTCCCGGCTGAAGTACCAGCGCCTTCCTCCTGCCGCCGCAGCCGCCGCGCCACACACCGCCATGATGGCCGCCGTCGCCGTCGACAACGACGCATGCGCGTGTGAAAGCACGCAGCACGCACCGGCCTGAGATCACGTGATCTTGGCCTCTGGCGCGTACTTCCTTTTCCTTTCCCGCTGGAAGCGCTTATGGGAAAGTCAATCTAGATTGAGAACTTCCGGTGTTCGCTTGAAGGCTACTACCTTCCGGGTGCGTCGCTCTAGCATAGCTATCTTTATGGTGAGAGTCTCTTAGGTCCCAAAAGGCGGTAACGGTAAAGACATTAAGAAGGCACATCGCAGATGTTGCGGTACAACAGCAAGCCATTTTTTTCTCTGTTTTCTAGTCCTTGCTTTGCTAAACATCAGTCCTGACGTGCAAGCTTGCTTGCTTGCTATTTTGGGACGTCTTGCTGGGTCTCACTACGGTATTGCCAGACTGTGGATTTTGACGTTTAGCTTTCGATTAGATCGAGACATCTCCAGGTTAGGGCTCAGTCCTCTGTACGTTTGGACAGGAAAAAAGAGTAAGCCAGTACAGGACGTCGCCCTAACGCATATAAAGAGTAATAAAGCCGGCAGGTGATTGTAATAGATTGAACGCTACCTTAGGGTGGGTTTGCAGGAGAGATAGTAACAAACTACCAGGCACTAGATAAGCCCGTTAATACATCGTACTATATGTATTAATTGGGTTGCTCGATACCAGGAGGTCAGTTATCAACAGCAACTGCATTCTGCTTGGCTATTTTTAATGCGACTGTCACCATTCGTACTTTCTGAACTAATTTTCCTTTGTGCTGTAATGTATTTCCTCGTAAACTCTCCATAATGCTCTAATGGAATGAACAATAGTTCAGAAAAACTTACTAGAATACATGGCTTTTTTCTCCAGGTTTCTGGATTATTTTTGTATCATTATTAAGTGACTTATATCATGGGAACTGAGCCACATGAGTTCATTTGAAATATCTATATTATATATCATTATTGCTCTTTCTGTCTCTATCACAACATGTGCTTCAATAAAGATGTAACACATGGAAGCCTTAGGCTGCAATCATATACCCACTTAGCCAGGAGTAAGCCCTATTGAGCTCAGTGGGACTTACTTCTGCGTAGATACATATATTCTCAGAGAGCACCATTGTCAACCTTGGCTCCTGTCCGACATGCAGTGCTCATCATACAGAATACTTGTAAACCCCAGTGCAATTTGAGGGTATTGACAGTGGATGACTACCAGTTCTGACCACTTGGTGACTTCTTAGATCTCACCCAAACTAGTTTTCAATTCCTCATTGATTTTGACTGTATAACTCTTGACTTTCTCACAAAAGCAATGAATTTATTGTAAATACATGCATTTTCAAATGCAAAATTAGATCTCCTTCTGAAGATGGGGCAAATTTTGGAAAAACTGAAAGGAACAACATAGACAGAGGAAAATAATTACTGAAGAATCAAAACAACAGCAAAAATAACAATGCATTGTGATTCCAGAGTGCTTATTTTGGTCAAGACAACAAGTTCTGCTCCCGTTCCTCTTTCATCATGCTCCAGTTTATCTGAGCTGGGTAAACTAAATTCATCCTCCACGCACCCCCCACCCCCGCCATTGTATCCCTTGGGAAAACTTTGGAGATCCCTTCTCTAGCACATATTTTTGAATGCAACAATATTTATGAATCTTTTTTTAAAGTTGCATTACAGTGAAATTTGGAGAGGAAGGACTCATTGAAGTTTTGTATAAAAATAATGTCTAAAGGCAGCATAAGCTAAGAAAAGAAACAAGAAAGATGCAACAGGGAGATGTAGTTATCTGAGCTGTGATATTTCAAGATGACCAAACATGTCACATCTTCTATAAAGCTAGAAGCCATTATGGGTGCCAGCTCTCACTAGTTCATGGAATTGTAGAATTGTAGAGTTGGGAGGGGCCAGAAGGCCATCAGGTTCAATCCCCTGCTCAGTACAGGACTCCAAGTTAACCCATCCCTCTCAGATGGCTGTCCAGCAGCATCTTGAATGCCTCAAGTGTGGGAGAGCTCACAACCTCTTTAGGTCATTGGTTCCATTGTTATCTTGCTTATATTAATTTCCTAAGCCGGCAATTCTAAGTTGTCCATCATTTAGTGCAACTGGCAAACAAAACGAATATTAACAGAAAATCTGAGCATTTGATGGAACACTTTTTCCATTATTAACAATCCCATGCAAAGAATAAAATTAATTGAAGTTGTAACACTGGGGACAACTGGAGGATGGGGCTCTGATTTTTTAAAATCTTTCTGTAAACTAGACCTCAGTCATATCACGATATATTGTATTACCCTTATGTAACCATCTCACACACTCAAGTTTTGATCGCATATGACATCCCCAGTACACACAAGCTGGGTGTGCCTCACCATGGCAACACAGCAAACAGATGGTTTAGGATTAGAATGCTACAACTGAGAGGCTGGGCAGCAGTTGAACCTAAAGGGAAGGCAAGCCCAGGTGATGGCTTTCTTTGGATTAACTTTCATGGGACATCAGGATCCCTTTCGGGACAGGCGATTAGCATTAGCTAAGCATGAAGTGCCAGGTAAGGACGTTTTCCAAGAATTCTTTATTTCAAAAGGGCTGGTTCACATGATATGACTACCCACCATGGTTTATTTAACCTATGCAGAAGTAGAAGTACATGCAGTTGTCATTTTGTATATCCAGCCCTCATGTAGTCCATGTAAACTGGGTCTCCATGATGAGAAAACTACCAAGAGTGGGTTCGATATGCTGAATGGCACCCACTAGATGATGATGATGATGATGATTATAACATTTCTATGCCGCCCCTTGCTGAAGCCTCGGGGCGGCTTACAACACAATAAGATACATTGAAATACAATAGAACATAATAAATTACCAATAAATACAAAAATACAAAAAATACACTGAGATACAATAATATAAAATTAAAATTAACAGTATAAAATAAGTAAATAAAGAATATAGGAGGAGGAAAGAGAAGGAAGAAGAAGTTGCCCTGGCCAGATCATATATTTTAACAATTAAAATGATGTTTAAATAAAAAGGTCTTTACCTGGCGCTGAAAAACCAGTAACGACGGTGCCAGGCGGACCTCTTTGGGGAGTGAATTCCATAGGTTGGGTGCCACCGCAGAGAAAGCCCTCCTCCGAGTACTTACTCGGATGCACCATTTCAAGTAAAATATGTCTTTAACGTCCTTCTAGGGTTTACCAGTAGTAAGTGCTGAGTACGTGTCTGCACATGTAGAAGACTCACACCAGTTTTGCGGTCCTTCAGAGAACCCTGAGAACTACTGTTCTCTTAAGAGGCTATAGCTTTTATTGAGATTCTCAGCACTGTCACTAAAGTACCACAATCAAAGTTCCTTGAGGGGAAGCCATGACAATGATCAAGTTTTGGGCTACAACTTCCAGCATTCCTGACCATTGGCTGGGGATCAAGGGAGTTGCAGACTAACACATCTGAAAGATAACTAGTGGAAGAAGGTTTCTATATAATACAAACACAAGAAGAGCTATGCTGGATCCAACCAACAGTCCATCTGGTCTGCATTCTGTTTACACATTGGCCGATGAGCTGGCCATGGGAAATCACAAGCAGAATGCAGGAGCACCCTCCCACCTATGATCCCCAGCAACTGGTGTACATGGGCATACTGCATCTAATACTGCAGATAGCATACAGCCATTGGGACTAGTGGCTAGTGATGACCACCTCCTCCTCTGTGAATTTGTCAGATTTCCTTTTAAAGCCATCCAGACTGGTAGCCATCACCATGGCAGTCAATTCTGCACCATGTGTGTCTCAAATATGTTCTTTCTCAACTTCATTCTGAAGTGGAACATCTAGGGATGTGGAGTGAGCTGTTTATCTAGACTGGGCTTCATTTCAAACAGAGATCTGAACAGTAGGATATAGTACAGTGTCTAACAGGACCATTTTACTCTTAAGACGTGTATCCCTAAACCCACTACAGCCTGAATCACTGCTCCCTGCTTAACAAACAAGGTGTCCTTTAAAAGAGGCTTGGATCCCACTCGTCATTAAATGCAGTCAATCTGGTGTACATAGGATTCCTAGGAAGTCAGGTTCAGCCCTGCTTAGGTTCCACAATGGAACAAGCAGGCAACTTCAGGCTTTTCTGCTTCCATGGAGGCATACTTCTTCCATTCTTTGCACCTCGCCCAACAACCTGCTATCAGCCAGAGTGACGTTCATTTTGTTTTTCTCCTGTCCATCTTCAGTGGGAACACCAACGCCCAAACTGGAACTTTTCTACCCAAAGCTGCCACCCATAGGACCATCTGGCTATGATGACAGCATACACCAGGGCAGCTACAGCAAGTATCAAGAGATGATCAGACAGAAGCAGCTCAAAAAATGTAGGTGAAGAAGCTTGAGGCAGACCAAAGCACAGGGACTACCTGGGATCCTTATATTAATTAATTCAATTTATATCCCACTTTTTTCATTCAATGAACTCAGGCCTGTGGCCCTCCAAACATTTTACTTCAGTTCTTATTGTTCACAACCACTGGCTGTGCACACTGGGGCTGATGGGAGTGGGAGGCCCCAGGTTCCTTCACCCTTTTCATATCTGGAAGTCCAAACTCTTGAGTCAGAGGATATGGACCAGGAATGACGGCCTATGGGTTAAAAGCAAGTATGGGTGTGGAAGTTGCACAACCCAAGAGAGCAGAAGGGTTGAAGGACCTGGATTCTCCAAAGAGGGTGCTGATGCCCTGCACCATAGATCTCCCCTCTGTAATGGAGAACAGGTAGCCAAGAGGAGTGAAGACATAGCGGGAATCATCCTCACTCCAGTGGTGAAGCTCAAGCACACTCTGGGACACAAGCAAAGGTCAATGGGCACCACTGCAGCTGGAGTCCACAACTGTCAGCCCATATTCAAGCAATGGATTCTGGCAAGCCGGCTGAACGCTGGCCTTCTATTTACAGTGGTACCTCGGCTCACGAACGCCTCAGTTCACAATCAAATCGGGTCATGAACAAAAAATTCATTAAAAATTTGACTGGGGGTGGTGCAGGGGATGGTCGAGATTGCGCCTGTCTTCCCTGAACGAGTGCAACCGTGATCTTGGCCATCTCCCCCCACCTAGCATGATCGTGCCTGTCTCCACCCCCCCCCCCGTGTGCCCTCCCAGCATGCCTGCATTCGTGCCCGTCTCTTCCCCCCCAGTGGCCTGCGTTTGTGCCCGTCTCTTCCCTGCCCCCAGTGTGCCCGCAATCGTGCCCATCTCCCCCCCCCCCCGCCCCAGCACGCCTGGATGACCGGCACATGCAGGGATGCAGGGAGGGATGGATGCGATCGTGCTGGGGGGTGGGGAGATGGCTGCGCTCGTGCTCGGGGTGTGAGGGGGGAGATGGCCACGATCTTTGTTGTTTTTTGTCACTTTGCTTCACATCTTTCTGCTTAAAAAAATGGTTACAGAATGGATGAACCTTATTTACATTGAACCTTATGGGGAAATTTAACTTGGCGCACGACCAGAGTCCTGGAATGGATTAAGTTCATGAACCAAGGTATCACTGTATTTATTATGTTTCTATACTGACCAATGGCTGAAGCTTTCTGAGTGGCTCACAGGAATTAAAATCAAAGATACAGGGTGATAAAGTATAGTGTTAATGTTTGAAATTACAGCCTAAAAAATAAATAAGAACCTAGCTGCAGTGAGTGATTTAAAATGGGCACAATAGCAGATCTAAAAACACAATACCAGTTTTAAAACAAACTGAAAAATTAAAATGCCTGGGAAGTTTAAGTCGTAACTGGGCATCCAAAAGAGTACCATGGAGGTGTCTGATAAGTCTTTCTGGGAAGTTCATTTGGAAGCAAGGGTGCTACAGCCATGAAGTCCCTCTTAGTTGCTGCTACTTACCTCACCTCATTTGGCAGGGGCTCCCCAAGATGCAGTGCTGAAGACCATTTTTGTCTGGGCTCATTTATATGGGGAGTTTTTCAGGAAACCTGGCCACAAGCCATTTGAAATGGGTGTGGAAAAGGACTGGCAGCCAGTGCAGACACAAAAGTACCGACATTGCATGATCCTGTTGCCAAGGAGATCCTTCTTTCTCGTGGCTCCAGAGCACTGTTGCAAGGGCTGGGCCTCAGGGCCCCAAGTAACCGCCCTGAGCCATGCCGGTGATGGAGGCAAACTTGCCCTGCATCCTCAGCCGGGCCGGCCTGGGTGTGCGGGGCTCAGCCAAGACTGAAGCTACTCCCCACAGCATCCTTTCTCTTTTTGTTCAACAGACTTATGAGGCAGCCTGCTGGATGGGTAAATAGTTGCAGGTTTTCCTATTTGTTATTTATTATATCACATCGGTTTTCCCTTCCAAGGAATGCAGAGCAGCTTACATCATTCTCCTCCTCCTGCTCTCAGTCTTATCCTCACAACAACAACCCTGTGAGCTGAGAGTCTGTGACTGGTCCAAAGTCACCCAGTGAGCACCATGGCTGAGCAGGGACTAGTACTCCACTTGCCTGGCTCCCAGTCCTGTGCTCTTAACCACTGCACCACACTGGCTTTCATATTATTATTTCCACTTTAAAATATTATCCTTACGTATAACAAAATGGTGTGTGTTCCCAGGTGAATGTGTTCAGCATCACAGCAGTAAAATCACATTCGATTTCCCCTGTAGTCCTAATTGTGCTATGATTTAAGTGAGTTTGAAATGCAGTATTGTACTTGCTCAGAGTAATTTTTTCCCTTAAAAAAATCAGAGATTGAAAATTGTCTTGTTTTGTTTTGGTGTTTTTGCTGTAACTGATCCATGATGTAGAATGAGCCATGAAGCACGGAATGGCAGCAATGGGAGAAGAGAGATGCTAGCTGTGTGCTTCACTACTGAAGTAATGCACAAGACTATCTAAAGAGGTGGAGGGTGGTAGGATCATTCAGTCCAGCATCTAAAATTGCCTGGTTACACTGCTGCTTCAGAGAGCCTTTGCTTCTTTCCACCTAATATCCAAAGCTCTCTGTTGGCTTTTCTAGACCCCAAGCAAGAGTACAGGGTGCCACTGACTTGTGCGCAGGAAATTGGCTGGTGGCTACCAATGGATCCGTCAGTCAAGCCAGAAGATGCCATACCGTGGATGAGGACACAAAGGCACCCCCAGCTGCGGAGCCCCATGACCAAGTGAGCACACCGTGGGAGGCAGAGAATCGGTCCCCCTGCCAGCACAGGGAAAAGGCTCTAATCCCAGCCTGCATGCAAATCAATTACAAGGGACAAATGGCTGCCACCAAAAGCAGCAGTCCCACATCTCCCCAGTGAAACCGAGCACAAAGCAACATTACTGCATCCAAGTGTCCCCTATAACCTCTGCATAGGTAACTCTGGGTGCAGTAACAGCATTTCATGTGTCTTCTCTTACTAGGCTTCAATGAGGAGATGCAGAGAAGAGAGTCAGAGCAGCTCTTTTCAATGAATTCATGTACCCTTTTGCAATATTTGGCTTGGCCCTTGGGTATATATCAGCACAAAGAAAACAATGGACAAATATGGGGCAGGGCAACAATACGTTTCAAAACAGTCACATCTCTTGTAAACTTTATGCCAAACAAAACCCAAATCATTAGGATGTCCTTATGTGAGGCAGGTCCAGCCTGATTCAAGCTACTGTTTGAAAGACATTTTATTTGACTAAGACATACCTCTGAAGCCCCGGTAACCCTCTGCTTGGGTTGTACCACTCTGGACTGCAGGAAGGCTACTGCCACGAGACAGAATTTTCTCCTTCCACTCACAGACTGACACATAGAAAGTAAGTGTGTCAGGAAGAAAGTTATTAGTTGATTACCATGAAGACGCCCTATATTTGTGGCATCTGTGCACAAATATGTATTCCCAGCATTGAGTTTCTCATGTATAGGAAAGTTTTTTATATGAAGGACCATTCAAGTTATTAAGTGATTGAAAAATGGGGTGAACTGGGACCCAGACAGTTTACCACCTCAGTTACTGTTTTTGGGTAGATCTTTTGGGCCCTTTCAGATGTTAGAAAATTCTTCCATGGAAAGTATCAGACTGTAGAGCAAGGCCCTCCAGATGTTTTAGCTGATTCCTCCTATCAGCCCCAACCAGAATAGCCAATGGTAAAGGACACTTCCCACCTTTGGATGTAAAAAAAAGAAACTTGCTCCCAATTGAGTTGAGTCTGGTAAAATTCCCTTGGCTATCAGCCATGGTTAAAATTGCACTTGTGCCAAAATCTAACATGCTAGCTCCAGATTAAGATGTTAGGTCTCATGTGGCATCTTGAAGACTAGCACATTTATTCTGGCATAAACCCCTCTGGAAGGAATGTGAGAGTTAAGTTTGCTGCAGCAATCACTGTTCACACATAACAACAACCCAGAGTATATGCTATGCTGTCTTACCTAGTGTTTACTCATGATTTGTCTGCCAGACAATTGCCACAAACACTTTTTTAATTTAATTTTTAATTTTAATTTTTTTAACACTTTTCTCTCCTCCTTGTATTTGCATTGCTATAGCACTGGCATAAGCAGCAGCTGGGTTTTTAGCACTCTCTAGTCTGGCAGAACAACCAATGAACAAGAACAAGGACCAATTGTTCAAACACCTCAGATTTCACAACCCACCAAAAACTCATGGGTTATCTTAGGCTGTTCATGGTTAACCCAGTTAATCTATACTTCTGGGTTCACAACTAACAACGGCAAGCCATATTCAACTCATATTCTGGATTGTTGCTATGTGCAAACTAGTTCAAATAGCTCTGTGGCAGGACTAACACATTTATTGAGGAATAAGGTTAACAACATGTTAACCTCTATAGATAGGTGTGGGAATGGAGAAAACAAGACCATTCTTCTGGGTGTGAGGCCAAAACAAAACAAACAAAAAACCCCCAAACTATGCAACAACAACAAACAAAATGGAATCTTTTGGATTCAGAAGACAACGATCCAGTCAAAAAAGTAACAGTGACCCACTCCCAACCTGTAATGAAATAACAGAGCAAGCTGAATAGCATTATCAAACACCTTAAAGTGGGGCAATTACTTTTGGTAGTAAGCCAGCCACTCTCAGTGCTTCTTCAGGCTGATAGCAACAAACCCATGCTATTATTCTGGTTCTGAGATTTTCAGACTAAATGATATGTAAGAGATTGCTAAGCACCTTGTTCTCCACACTCAGGGTGGTTTTCTGCCCTGCCCTATAAAGCAATTTGCGAGGCATAGTGATAACTTTTACTTTATCCCATTAGGGGTTAAAGGGATTGGCCATTGGTCATTTCACTCTGTTATATTTTGGATGGTATAAGCCCTCCTGAGGAGGCCACAGTTGGAATGCACCCCTTTTCTATTGGCCAGTGATAGGGCCACTCTCCTAGTTGGAGAGCCAGTGTAGCAGTTTCAGTGTTGAACTACGGACCTGGGAGATCCAGGTTCTTGGCCATAAAGTTGACTGGGTGACTTTGGGCCAGTCACATACTCTGCACCTAACCTACCCCACAGGGTGGTTGTGAGGATAATATGGAAGTCACCTCTGGTTCCTCAAAAGATGAAAAATGTAATGATAATTGAATAGTTGCTTAACTATTCAGACAAAACCAGGGGCCCTACACTCCAGTGGTTAAGTTATGGGTTATCTGTAATGGATTCTGCTAGCAAGGGAACAGAAGGTGAATCAATACTTTTGTTTTGTTGCAGGTTTGTAGACAGCATGGCTATCAGCAACCCTTTCTTCAGCCTGTTTTGAGCACCTCATTGGGGAGCCCTAGCAAGAACTATGACAGCACCATGGTATAAACACCTGATCCCACACTGGGGCCCACGGCACCCTCTGTACACAGAAATAAACTGAGGCTGGATGCAGTCATGGATGGGTTTGGCTGGCATAGTGTTCTTCCACCTGCCTTGGAATCGCAAGTGAAGGTGGTCATTCATCACATCATGCTTGTGATCACCTGGTATGCTTATGATCCCCTCCTGTCTAGCAGTGAGGAAAATTCACACATACACACTTCTGGAATGGTGAATAAACTGCCAAGGAAGAGTTTGAGTTTCCATCTCAGCAAATGTTAAAACTCCACTGCAAAAAGATGCAAATAGTCAAGTTTTTAAAACTGAACATAGGCATTTAAAAAAAGAAATTAATGAACATCCTCTCATGTGTTCTATAAACTTACCTTGGGCTATATTTATATACTCCCTGGTTTTTTTTAACTAGTGGTGGAATGATAATGCTTGCTACCATTCCAACAGCAAGGCCATTTGTGATGTAGACAGACGTTGAGTGAATGTACACCTAAGCATGTAATAAGTATGTTTGTTTTTGACTGACACGTGTAACTGTACCTAGATTTAATCGAGTAGTGGTGGTAAGTATTTAGGTAATATATAGATGAAATATGTTCTAAGCTAGGTTATGTTTGTGGGCATCAAAGTTAAACCTGAGAATGGATTATCTTCATACCATTTCCCTGTTTGGATAGCCTGTTGTGTTTTCCGAAACAATAAAACTGGAGTGTCACTACAGTGTGCCTTGTGCTTTTCTGAGAAAGGGAGAGGAAGATCAAAGTGAGGGGAATGAAAACAGAGTCTGGAAGCATACTGATGCCGCACACTCCTTCAGTTGCTCCAGCACCCAACCTGACAAGGAAACAGAACGTCTCTACATTAAAAAGCTTTTTGTTCATCAACTCTATCCCTCTAGGAAATGTAAAGTATGTTTTACAGACCTGGATGCTTTCTTGAAAACAACCAGTGAATAACTTAAGTGAGCTCTCTTTAAGACCTGGCATGCTCTAAGGAGGCTGAAGTGCCTGATCCTGCCTCATCTTGGAAGATAAGCAGGGTCAGGCCAGGTTGAAATCTGGATGGCCGACTGAATGTTGTGAACTACCCAGAGAGCTTTGGCTATGGGCAGTACAGAAATGTAATTAATATAATAATTAGAACCTGGGTAGTAAATGTTGCAGGATATCAATGTACACACACCCGCAAAATAATGGAGTGTCTAATTTAACTGAATGACTGAGTATGTCAAAGTCTTTTAAGCACCTAAGGATATGAACCTGGTCAATCAGGTAATATTTTTTTTGGTAAAGGCTAAACTATTTTAAAATTCAGACATGTTAAACAGCTTTCTTCAACCTGTGGCCTCCAGGTGCACTGGACTAAACTTCCCATCACATAAAGTGATTAGAAATCATATCCGGTACACAAGGTTTGGGGAAGGCTACATCAATTGTGGGTGACCTGCACTATCTTAGAAAAGGCCTCTCTTTCTCATGCCGTTTCACACATCCCTCACTCTAAAGGAAGGAATGGCCACTGTGTCCTGTGTATGGAGAATCTAAAATCCAAATTTTTTGCTTTAAAACATTATTTCAGTCATACAAACAGGCACATAGATGTAACCTCAATTAAAAAGCTCATGGTTACTCAAACAATGGCACACCATGCATGCTTACTGGGTAGGAAGTCCCATTGTGTTCAGTGGGGCTTACCGCCAGATAAATGTGCAGAGGAAGGTAGCCCAGGATTTCTTAACCATGTGGCAACCCTAAAAAATCTTCATGGTCCACACAGCCTAAAACTTCCCTATTCCCCATGTGCGCACACATACATACATACATACACACGTGTCTAGGCAGGGCAAAAATAGCTTTTATGGTTTTTATAGCACAGAAGCATGAAACAATATAATAGAAAGTGATCTTTAATATATAATTTATATATGTACACACAAAAAAGAAAAAGTACCAAATAAGTGCCATATCGCCCACTCCAATCACACACTTCCCCCAAGGAATTCATCTGAGCTGTTTTAGTATTAGCCCGAGAGGGAGCGGGGAGATCTGGGTTGGATGGTTTGCTTTTCAAAACATTCAACTTTTCTCCTTTCACATAGCCTGCCCCCAAGGTGGGCACCAATAATGCATAGGCTATGCACAAGGGCAGCTGCTGCCCGTTAAAAAAACCTCCAAGCTTTTCTTTTATTAAAAATGAAAGCATTAAAAGAGCTTTTTTTAACCAATAAAATAAAAAAAACCACTTCCCAGCTTGCTTTCTTTAAAAAACAAAAAGTAACTTCATATTTATTTGTTTGTTGTCTGCATTAAAACACTTGGTTTTCCCTTCAGTCATCTGCTTTAAAGGAACTTTACAAAGCTTACTTGCCTCCCCATGGCTTGGACATTCCCCATTAGATGTCGCTTTTGACAAAGAGTTAAGCAAACTAAATCCCATTCTCAAAGAATCTGTTTTAGTACTGAAATTCCATCTGACAAGAAGGGGGCAGGTGGGAAGGGGGCTGTAACTTGCCAACAACAGATTCAGTAAGGACAAGACCAAAACAAGGGTAGTGGGACCACATCCATACAATTGTTTGCCACCAATACAGTCCACAGCTGCTATGAATATAACAATTCCTTGGAACAGGATCGGATGAAAAATGGGCCAATGGTAGTCTGTTTGGAGAAACGGGGATTGCAGCTATCATGGGAATTACAATCTCATCTCTCATCCCTTCCATAAAAGGGAAAATAAAGACATGGTCAGAACCTATGAGGAACGCATGTCTCACTCTCCGCAGTGTCTTCCCACCCCTGCAGGAGCCAAGCAGATGACCTATTTTAAAAGGATAGCTGCACTTCCCCACGTATCAAATCTTCTGGTGAAATTTCTTTTCATACACACACGCTTGCTACTGAAGGGTAAGTAAAGACAAAGCCTCAAACGTTCCTATGATCAAACAGTACTTGTGCTGGCAGGAGCTCAACCCCCATTCACATCTGCTAGGATTTTATTTTAATTTTTTTAAGGGAGTGCAATTAGCACAGTGTCCTTGCTCTGCTGATTTGTGACTTACCATTTCTCCCCCCTCCCCACCCCACCCCAAGTCTGGAAGGTCTGAGCAAGCATTCCCCAGGGCACCGAGGTACCAGAACGCTCAAAGCACAGGTGACAAAAATCCATTTAACATCCGCAGTCCAGTTGACCGATAAGAGGAGAGGGGGGAAAGAGAGAGTGCAGAAGGGAGGAATGTGACCCTTTCGGGAGCTATGACAACTAGGGATATATTAAATATATATTTCTAAAAGATATGGTCAACTCCCCCTGCACGCTCACTCTCTTTCACACACACTCACAAAACGAGGCCCTGAAAGTCTGACTGCTTCACAAGGAAAAGTGGGTGTAGGGAAGGGGAGAGACTTGGCATTTAGCAGCAGAAGTCTCATGAAGCTGCACTGGCAGGAAGGTGCTTGCTCAGCCAATTCCAGGAACGCGAGCTCCTATCAAAGAATGACTACTTCTTTTCTCCTAGGGTCCCAAAGTATAGGAAGAAGCTCCCTCCTGAAGGAAGATGGAAGAGGGGGGCACACCCAGAACCATCCCCCCACTCAGCATCAGGCACCTAAGGCAGGTTGCATCTCCATAGGGTGGGACACCACTTTCCCTGGCTATCATTTATGGGACATGGGATGGCAGGGGAGGTGGAGGGAACCAAGTCCATTCCCTGCCTTCTCTTTGGCATCAAAACCACAACCCTAAGCCCTTTTCTTGGAGCATCCAAGTGTTCAGCACAACTCCCCTTAATCCCTGCCAGACAAAAGCAATTTGGCAAATGAGAACTATATCCCAAACAATAATCCCTTGCCACAAAAGAGACACTTTTCCAAACTTCACAGTGAATGTGTGTGCATGAAAGAGAGAGAGAGAGAGAGACAGACAGACAGAGTGGGCATTGCTGAAGGATGTAACAATCAAAATGCACTAGGGGGCAAGCCGCCTCCTCACCAAAACGGTGCTGCTGCTGCTGCTGCAGTTCTTGAGAGTCTCGGCAAAGGGCACCACAAGAGACAAAGGGCCCCTCTCAAAAATGTCCAGGCAATGCTGGGGGGGAAAGGAACAGCTGCCCCTTCCACGATAAAACCGAATGCCAGCTTTCTGGATCCACAAATAGCAATGGGTGGGGCCTGTAAGCCCTGTGGCACCTTCCCCTCATCAGATTCTTTGGTTGGCCCAGGAGAGGCAGAAGGTTTTCGACAATGGATTTGTGTTCACTACCCCAAAACAGCACCCATGCGGGCCCAAAAGGGGGCACCCCAAGTTAGGCTTTGCTCCCAATAAATAAAAAAAAAAGTCTCTTATGGGGTAGGGTGACTGCCAACTTCTCCTCTTGTTCACAACTACTGAGGATCTGATTTTGGAGTTTGTGGGGTTTCCCTTTTAGGATGGTGTGTCAGAAATCCCAAGCAAACAGGAAGGAAGGAAGGAAGGAAGGAAGGAAGGAAGGAAGGAAGGAAGGAAGGGGAGAGAGAGAGAGAGAGAGAGAGAGGGAGGGAGGGAGAGGGAGAGGGCCAATCAACCCCATGCTGCCTAAACCCATCTTAAGAGGTCCCTTTGCAGTAAAGGCTCTTGCTAACTGGTGGGGCCCCCATTCAGGAAATAGGTGGTCATCTCGCCTTTGCCTTTGACCTTGATGACACCGCGGCATTCCAGCTGGTAACCTTTGGCTGCCAATACCTGATAGAGATCAGTTGTCACCTAGAAAAAAAGAGGGACACAGAAAGAGTTGTTAAAGTAAAAGGAGTGCGCAGTGTCAAGCAGGTGACTTAAGGCTGGCTGGGGGTGATGGGAGTTGTAGTGCATCATACCTGGATGGGCACCAGACTGGGAGAAGTCTGCTGCAGTTCTTCCCAGAACACATACTTATGAATTCACTATCACAAAATATAGTGGGCAGTAGTCCCTGCTCAGCCACAAGGCTCACTGGGTGCCTCCAGGCCACCCATCTGCCTCACAGGGTTGTTGTGAGCATCACATGCAGAAGATGAGGACCATGTATGCTCCTTTGTGTTCCTTGCATGGCAAAAGGCATGGGATATGAATGTAATAATAAGTAAATGACATGATTGCCCCTAACTTGGAACACTTTTGCATTTATTTGTTAAAGAAGAACAAGAGTGGGCAGATTCAGGAAGGAAGGATCTATGACATGAAAAAAGAAACTCCACGTTCAGAAATGTACCTCCAGAGAATGGGGACAGACAAGCCTTTGTGTGTGATGCGTGGATTCCCTAGAAGCACCTTGCGGGCTACACTGGGAACACGGGTGGACTACCGGATGCGGGCGGTCTGGCAAGACTGTGCTTAATTCATAGTGTACCTTAGCAATTCAGAATTGGCCACCAGAGGGAGTCCTATGGATGCAACCTTCAAAAGTGTTTTATTTGAAATGTATGAATCACACCTTTCCAAACAGTGTTATCTCCAAGGCAGCTCTCAACAAATAATGAAGAACAACATAAATTAGCTCTCCCTCTTACATAAAGCTGCTCCAAACATGAATACCAGGTTTCATCTGGAATCTTCCTTTACCCTCAAAAGTGCTCTTCTGTCCCCAAAATCATCTGCCCAAAAATCTGGCAGCAGACAACCATTACAAGGAATGGCAGGGCTTCAATTGCTCTGGACTGTGCATTTAAGCACCTACTAACAAAACAAGATTGCCAAATGGGATTGCAAGATTCCTCAGTCGCTCCAGTTGATTCTGGTTGTTCATTAAAAATCTCATAAGGAACTGTTGACCCACCTTAATTAGTTACTATGCGTTCCTCAGCTGCCACAAACACTTTTTACCTTTAAATAGCTATACCACAGCTATTCAACTTGCTTGTATGGTGCTCTTAAGACCCAAAAGGGATAGGATCTGAGTCCCTGGGGTGCCTCTTCCCTTATTTTCGATCATTTGCCTTAATAGCTTCTAAAATAGTCTCAGCAAGGAATCCCCTGCATTTACTACTTATCAGAAGGCTTCTGGATTTTGGGCCTTCTCTCTTCAGAATCTTCCACTAAGGAAAGCTTGTTTGGTCAACTCTGTTCAAGCATTCAGGAGAGTTGTGTGAAAAAGGAACACAATTGTACTACTGGTCGGAGTACTGTCTGGGCCAGATGATGTATGCGGATATTTGTCGTTTTGATTAATGTTGGCAGTTTTACTGCTGTACCTGTTTTTCACTACAATGTATTTTATGGCTGTAAGCTGCCTTGGAGGGTACCTGCACTGAAAGGAGGCCTACAAATATTTTAAATTAACAAATATTCTCCTGTTAGGAGGCGTTTGGGCTATGCTTCTTTACAGAAAAACACAGACTGCTACACTCTCAACCAACAACCCTGAGGCCAGGCAGCCATATATAAATTAAGATTATGCCACACATATCTAGGCAGAACTAAAAACCTCACCTGGGTGTACAACTATTCATGGATGCAAACTTTGGGGCCAGGTGCTGGCAACCTCCACCATGTTTAAAAGGAGTCACACTCCCACGGCTCTCACCTGAATGCGATCAGGAACACCAGTGCTGTCCATGCGACTGGAGACATTCACCGTGTTGCCCCAGATGTCATACTGCGGCTTCCGGGCTCCAATCACCCCAGCCACCACTGGCCCAATGTTTAGTCCTACGGAAGAAAAAAGCAGCAAAAATGGGGTGGCGGGAGCAGTGGGAGAGAAGGAGCCAAATCCATCAAAATGGAGCAGGCAACCTTTCCCAAGACCACCGCCATCTCCCAAACACGGTTGCAGCCCCTCCCTGCCTCCAGACTCCACTGACCAATTTTCATTTGGAAGTTGTTGAAAGAGTGTTCGTTGATGTATTTCATCTGCTCCATGAGCCGCATAGCATAGTCGGCCAGTGCGGTGATATGGGAGCGCCCCTCACGGTCATAGGTGCTGTCATTCAGCCCAGAAGCTGCCATATAAGTACTGCCAATTGTCTTTATCTTCTCCAGCTGCTTAAACGGTTCATCGCTGATAATCTACAGGTAGAAGGAAGGATCCCTTTCACTTAATGCCTGAGGACACCTCTTTGCATGACTCTTTCCAAGAAATACCCCACCCAGACTCTCTGAGCCAGACAGACATAGCAGAGGCACAGTTCAGATGCAGACAACCAAGTCCCCCCCGCCACACCCCACAATACACATCATAGAATAGCAGAGTTGGAAGGGGCCATGAAGGCCAAGGTCCAACCCCCTGTTGTTGCAGGGCACCAAGTTACAGCATCGTCTGTAGTCACTTGCGGCACCAATCAAGAGTGCCTGAATGCACCTAACAAGTGAAGGACTAGTCATTCAACACATTAAATTTACATATTTTCTAGCATATAACAGCCAAGGGTAGGAGGTGCTGGCTGTGTGGAACTTGAGCAAGGCAGACAGTATCCCATGCCTTCCTCTGCATGGTGGCCCTTCTAAGGGCCTGAAAATGCAATACAGAGGTTTGGGGGGATCTTGGTGACTGGAATGAGTTGTGGGGAAAAGCATCCCTGAAAATCAGGTAGAAGCAGCTTCAGTGAGCACAGCACTTCCATCCTGGATCCAACCCACTGAGTGCGCTGACTCCAAACCTTTTAAGGCAGCTTGGACTAAATTTAAAAAAAAAATCAACAAATGGAGAAATGCACTGACCAGATCTGTGTGATCACATGTACATTGCGCATGCTGGCTACATGTCAGTGGAATTTGCATAATTACCCTCATCAGTGTGGTTTGCTGTGCTGTGTGAACCTGTGCAGCATGGTTTCTTGGGACGGACAGCAACCCTCCAAGAAGCCGTGAGCACCTGCCGTCCGCTCCCAAAGAGCTGTGCCACCCAGATCTGCATGAGATGATATGCTGCAGGAAGCTGTGCAGACACCCTGCATAACACGACACTTCCCGTGCCTAAATTAAGCTGTCATGCTGTGCGAACTAGCTCTCTGGTGCTGCTGATGCAGGAGGTGGTATCAGCAAATACCACCAACACCATTAAGTGCAATCCTTCTCGTCTCTCAACCAGCACAACCTAAGCCAACTTGGAGTCTTTTGGCCCCTGCCAGTCGACGGAGAGCTCCAGCTCCAGGGGCACGCTTTTACCTCGTCAAAGTCAGCAATGATCTCGTTGAGGAGCCGCAGGCATTCGACCCCCTCGTTGTTGGCTTCCAGCTCCACATAGAACTCCGAGAAGTTGCTGATGGAGGCAAACATGACAGCAACGCACTCGCAGGACTGGTGGTACAGTTCATCATTGAGGCGCTCCCTGGCCAGGAAGTGAGCAGCCACATCTCTGGGCAAGATGTTGTGCAACAGCCGACGGTTGTAGGCCTGCAGCTCTTCCATCTCCTCTTTCTCGCTTGTAGCCTGGGAGGAAATAAGGCTATTAGTTATACTCAGGGGTGAGGGGTATGATTTCTTCTGACCAGCAGGGACTCCAGACTCCCAACTGTTTAACAGCAGTGACAAAAGGGCTATCCCATTCCTGCTGAATTTTACTGCTGAACTGAATAAAGTCTGGAGTAACCTGGGACAGATTTTGGGCAGAAAAACTGCATGCTCCACTCAGTCCTGGGCTCAGAATTCTTTCACTGCAATCTTACGTCTTTGGCACCAAGCATCTCCAGTTAATGGATCCTGAGGTTCTATACAAAACAAAGTAGCTCCTGAAAAGTCTTTGCACCGATGAGTTATGTAAATCTTATTTCCACTTAGCTTTCACCATTGAATACGCTGTTACATGTTTGCAGGGCTGAGGAACCTGTGGCTCTCCAGTGTTATTCGATGCCAACTCACATTAGCTCAAGCCAAGATTGCCAATAATATTGGGAGTACTCCAGGATTCATGACCCTGAGCTAAACAAACAAAACATTCCGCTCTGTGTGAAGCTGGAGAAATCTAGTGCATATATCTGCATAACTTACTATTCCTTGCTAGTCATGGAAAAAGGCAGAGAGCAATGCAAAACTCTTCTGCTGCTTCCAGAAACCAGAGCTCCTGCTCAAGCCTCTCTTCAGTCTGGAATTTCATCCTACATTATCCACTCATTTTTAAGCTAGTGAGCACAATCTTACAGGATAATGTGTGTGTGTGTTTTAAAGTGAAGGTCTCTGGATAAGAAATTCCACACACAGTATCAATACATTTGACTTGCCCATTATGATTACAGACTCAAACTGAACCCTGCCATCTCTGGAATGAATCTGTGGAAAGAACATCTCCCCCATTCAGAAATGTCAGAAGAGCAGACAGAGATGAGCCACTATGTATGTTGCAAAGATGAGGAACATCAAATAAAGGGAATTGCAAACCCACACTTTCCTGATGACTCACAATGTATGTGTATAAAGTCTCTAAAACAAAGGTTCAAGCAGAGATGTTCTGGGAGGCTAATCCTCAGTTACAAAATTGCTCCCCATGGGAGACCTGCCCAGTGCAGGGACATCTGGCTTGAGAAGCTTGTGTGTGGGACTAATATGTCAATATTATTTGTGGTCTAAGTGAGATGAGGTATGCATTTAAATACTAAGTGCACTTTAGCAAAGTCCCGTGAACCTTGCTGAATTTTCAAGCTGGTACGAGAAGCTTCAAAGGGATTTTTAGATCAAACTTTTCAGCTTAAACACTGCAATTCTCGTTACTAATATGTTCACTAGCCTAAGACAGCCATTCCTTCTAAACCTGTCAAACTTAGGACAATTCTGCAATAACAGAAACAGCTGAAGTTTTGCTGGGAATTTCTCTTCTCCCTCATCTGGTTTTGGTCTAGGTGAAATCAGGGTCCCTGTTTCTAAGACAGCCCAAACCCACCAGCCTCAACCTGCACATTGCTGTGTCGTCAGGTGCCTGCATAGCAGGGAGGGGTCTGACAGGCAACAGCATCTCAGAGAAGCTGCACGAATGAGTCTTCTCCCTGCACCAACATCCTCCTCAGTTCAGCACTTGGAAAAGAAGAGGAGACATGGCCAAGCGCTACGCAACAAGGAAGCACCAACGCGGGGGCAGGGAACTTGGCACCTTCCAGGTGCGTGGGGTAACAGCTCCTGCAGCTATGCGGACTAGAACTGATGGGAATCGTAGCACGAGACATCTGGAAGGTTCCAGCTTGCCTGCCCCTGCACTGAAAACCATTCTTGGCCTGCAGTGACACCATGAAACCCCAAGCCCATCTCAGCCTGGCCTGCAGCCCCATTGCAATGTGTACTCCTCCACCCCCTGCATACTACCTGTTGTTTCCAGAGGAAGTCGAGGCGGGCAGTGGACTCCACCTGCTGGGCGTGCAGATAGAGTGCCAGGGCAAACAGCAGCAGGATGACGGGGGTCATGTACTGCAGGGCTACCTTCTGGTGTGCAGAACTATGAAAACAAGTGGGGCGGAGGGGGAGACGAGGGAAGTAAAGGCTAGGCACTGTCATTCGGCCTCCTTTCCTTCATATACACCTGCCCTCTGGCCTTTGCTTGTCTGGCTCTACCAGACTGAGCTGCACAAAAACCTTCTGCTCTCCAAAAACAACCTCAGCCCATTCTCCCTTGCTTTCCCGTATGCCTGGAAGACCCTTCCAGAGAACCTGGCCTGGAAACAATGTCTTGCTATTGCTGCTGTTAGCCATTTTGGGTGCTCGGAAGAGAGAAATAGGATATACAAGGAAAGAATAAATAAAGTAGAATTCACCCCCGTTTTCCCTTTTCTAGACCTTCCTCAAAACTCACCATAGAGCCTTTTGCATAACGCTTCAGGCAACATCACTAAGTGAACAGAAGCCCAAAAGGTGGCAAACTTCCACCTGACCAAAAGATGGCAGCCAGACTCTGCATGGGTTGTGGGCAACACAATCCTATATTCCCTGCACAGGCTGCTGTGGCACTTCTGGGCTTGAGTCACAAAGCCAGTGTTAATGTCCAAATCCTTCAGGCAAGATACCTGAAGGATGGTCTCCTCCCTTTTATACCTGCCCAGACCCTAAGCTCATCTTCAGGGGTCCTTTTTCAGGAGCCTCCACCAAAGGAAATGAGGGGGGTGGCTACTAAGAAGAGAGCCTTTTCCGCTGTGAAATGAGCCCAGTGACTACATCGCATTCTTTTTGACAGCAGGCAAGACCTGTTCATGCTCATCGGCCTTTTTTTGTTTTTCATTTTTGATTTAAATGTGGCATTGCTTTGCACTGCTGCTAGCCTCAATTTATTATTAATTTTTATTTTTAAACTAGAGCTTACAAAAAAACAAAACAAAACCATATATAACAAACACTTTTATTTTATTTTATTATTTTATATATTGTATTTTATTGCCTTATGGTTTTACTTGTTGTGTACCACCCAGAGAGCCTTGGTTATTGGGCAGCATAGAATTGCAATATGTAAATAAATGAATGCATTTAACTGCATTTGCTTGCATTGATTGCTTACTTATTTCCCCCCTTTTCCATCTTTTTGATCTCTTTTCCATGTATCCCCCTTTTCCCATCTTCTTTGTTCCCTTGCCTCCTCACAGAAATTTCAGCTAGTCCCATACTGGACTTTAAGCTCTTCAAGGCAGGTACCCATCTTGTATTCCTCGGATGCTGTTTCTTACTTATATGATATCACCAGGGCTACAGCGTAATAAATAAACCAACAAAGGCACCATGATATGCTGCCTGAAAATCCAAGGCTTCTGAGAAACAGAATCCACCACTCTCTCAAAGCGAGGGAGCAAGAGACACCAGACCTTAGAGGAACAAACAAAATGCCCGTCCTCCCCAGTTCAATTTATATCCAGAGACATGATTCAGAAGCACCTCCAGTAATCCTAATGGATGAGGGGAAATAAGCTATGAATTTCATAGACGGAGTTAACAACAGTGCTACCTTTTCTGCGTCAGGGTTGGGGAACATGTGCCCCAGATGTTGCTGGACTGCAACCCCATCAGCCAACACTGCTAATGGTAAGAGCTGACGGGAGCTGGAGCTCACCAGGATCTGGAGGATGACACATTTGTCCTCCCTGCTCTATAGAATCCTCTACCCACCCTTTCCCCTGGCGTATTTTTCCTTATTTATGTCTGGTTCTACTCACCAGTCTTCACTACTCTGGTTCTCGCTGATGACTGGCCTGTTGTGGGGAAGAGAAGAGGTGTTTTCATACAGATAGGCCCAGGCAATGGCACCCCCACCTCACCTCGAGATGCAAGACATGCCAACACAACTGAGATTCAAGGTAGGGATGGAAGTAGGGCAATGGACCGGGAGGCAATTGTGATTCTGGTGCAGGAGCAGAAATTTAAATTCTACCCTTCAGTATTTCACTGGAGGAATGAGAGTGAACAGTCCTTCCCTTTGCTTAACAGCAACATCAAGATAAAGAGTTTGGTTTGGTACTGCTAAATTCTGAAGACCCAGGGGGCCTGATCTCCTCAAATAATGGGACGGGCCATGCGGGGCTGTTTGAGGGCTGTTTCCCCCTCCAGCAAGCCCCACTGCCCAGGTTCAGAAGCCATATGCAGATGGATAATTAGGCCCAGAACATGTGTGACTTGTTCAAGTCACACTGACTGGGCAAACTGCGCAATGCCTAACTCCAACCCGTCCCTGTCCTCTAATCTGTGTCCAAAGCTCTGCAGCCAAGATGATTTGCCTCTCATTGCTCAGGGCCTATAATGGCTTTCCTCAGATCTCTACCCCCGGTGCCCACTATTTTCCACATCCAGCCCAAGCGCCGCCTCCTTGGCTTTAGAGCTCTCCATGGCTTTGTGCAGAACCACGTCTGTACCTTCATATTCCTATCAATCACTCTCTGTGATGCGCTTCCTGCCAGTTTTATTAGCTCAGACTGTGACTCCCACCCCCATGACGTTTTCTGTTTTCAGTCTAAAGAAAAGCTGCCTGAAGCATCTTAACCCTTTTCCCCACCAATCTTTTCTGCTAAAAATGACCCCTTCCCTAGGAAACACTTTTTTCCTCCACGGGGAAAATGGTATGGAGGGAGGAGAAATAATTTGGGGTTTGTGGGGGGCGTATTTTTAGTGAGAAAGTCTTCAAAGGAATAAAAAGTCCCCACTCCCACACAAATGCGCATATGGGTCATCCACTCCAGACCATTTTCTCTGTGGCTGCATTTTCTGTCACAAGTTCCTTGAGGTGCACACACAAGCGTGCATTTTGGTCTTCAGCCATCCAAAGGCCTCCCGTTCTCTTAAATGACTTTGCGCATTCTCTTCTTCATGTCTCTAAGGCTTAGAGTGCCCTCTCGAAATATCTGTGGGGTACCCTTTCAAAAGCTTTTTCCTGCATTTGTGTGGCAACATGTCCCTTGTATGTATCATACTGCAAAATGCCACACCTTCTGTCCATTCTGTGGTGCCCTGCAACTTCTGTTGCACATGCAGTGCGACCCATGGATTTCAGTGCACAAGTGAGACCCGCCATGTGCACAATAAAGGTTTAATGCTTCCCCAAGGATGCCTTGAAATCCAGGCTTCCTTGTGGGACATCCACTAGCCCCCCCAAGTTCTGGAAAGGAGCATTTTCACTCATTTCTGGGTGCTCTCAGAACTGATAAATCTCCATTCCGTGAAGTGTAAGTGTCCTGTTGGATAACTGTCCCTATTAACACAGATCTGGAAACTCTGAGAGGTGCTGCTCACCCTGCCCCACGCTCAGACAGAGGAATCAACCCTTTCAGCACTCTGTAATTAAACCCACAATTCTTTTTGAGAGGGGAGATTTCTTGGCGGTAGCTGCTGAACACAGTGGCATCTCAGAGGATGCACGCAGCCTTCAGAACGCGTGTGCTTATGTGTGACATTCAGGGATGGTGCTATGTTTATTATTTCTATGCAATATGGTATTCTTGCTACTAGTAATATTTCTATTACTATTATAGACTATAATGGTGTGCCTGGGCAGGGCACCTCTCTTTTCTCTTCCGGGGAAGTCTGAAGAGCAGCCAGGTGTGAGCTTGGAGGAGTCTACCATCTTTGGTCACCCTGGCAGCCTTTGGGATGCAGAGCTAAAAACTGAGATTCTTCCCACCCCAGAGGGATGGGGGCTCTTACAAGGCATTGGCGACCACCAGTAAGTCATAGTTGTCGAAGAGCACCCCCTGGGGGCCTTCCGCGAGGGCCAGGTACACAGCCTCCATCACCACCAGCAGTGCCAGCTTCCCAAGGCTACTGATGTGCAGGAAGACAGAAGAGGCCAGCAGACTCAGCAGCACTGAGTAAGTGAAGTACTGCAGGGAGGAAAGGAGAGGGCGAGGGTGAGGGCCTCCTTCACGGAGACTAGGCACTTTCCCAGAAGCCCACAGCCATTCCTTCGTGACACGCATCCCCCCCACCCCACACCCATTCCTTCACATTCATTTTTATGGAACTGGCTGCCATGAGTTGCAGCGAACGCTTTTAGAAACAAATTCCTGGAGGCTTGTTCTGTCAAAAGCTGTTCTTTCCCACAGAGAAATGGCACTTCTATGCTCAGTGGCAGTAAGTTATTGAATGTTAAGTTGCTGGGAGGCAACACAGAGAAGGACCCTGCTTGAGGACAACAAGAATTCTCTGCTAGATCATAGAATCACAGAATCATAGAGTTGGAAGGGGCCAGAAGGGTCCAAACCCTTCCTGTTGTTGCAGGACACTAAGTTACGCTATCCCATTCAGCCCTGGGTTTGATCCAGCAGGCTTTTTTAAATATTCACTCTTCCTGCTTCCTTAGATACAGCTCCCCACCCCACCCCACCAATTCAGGCAACGACCAAGGTCCAAACACTCCAGCTACCAAGATACTCCTGGGAAGAGACATGGGGTGGAGGAGAATGTAGAGGAGTGGAGACCAAAGAGTAGCGCACACAGACTCATCCTGGCCCCAGGACAGAGCCCTGAGTGCCACCCCTGGGCTTCTATGGCTCTCCCCTTGTGCCTCAGCCAGGCTCCATCGCCCCTCTCAGAATCTTTCTGGGAGGTACATACCTCAGGGAAGCTGCAGCTAGAAGCACCGTTCCCCTGGCAGGGCAGAGCATCCGACACCAGTGAGAAGTTGAGGGCACGGAGCTGGCAGGGCCCCACAGCAGCTGGAGTAATGTTGAGAAACGCGGCAGCGCAGTCTTGGAGCCGGAGCCGGCTGCAAGCAAACTGGGTTGAGGGGGGGAAAACGGCCAGCTGTGTAGGACTTACAGGGAATGTGAGGCTGCTCTGCTGTTCTGAAGCCCACCCAGGCCCAGCCTCTCATACTAATGGCAATGAGTGGACAGCTGCAGCTCAGAGACAGGCAGCCAAGCTTGCAGAGCAGTGGAGTGGCTCGAACAAGGAGCTCCTCCTCACAGGCCGCGCGCTCTTCCCACTTTTGCTCCTGGCAAACGGGACTTCGTATTGCTCAACCAGGGAAGGCAGCAGGACAACAGGAGCCAGGGTAGAGGTGCGGGGAAAGGGGACCCTCCCAAAGCCCCTTCTTGCTTTTCCTCCAGCCAGCTTTGTGCTCTTTCCCATCAGCCCTGGGTCCGGACTGTCCCCACCACTCAAGGCCTGAGCGCAAGGCCTTTGCACAAACGCCACCCCTCCAGCCTCACAGCCAACCTCACTGCTCCTACCATGTTGATGAAGGCAGAGACAAAGACAAGCAGGATGGCTGCGACCCCGGTGACCGTGCTGTTGATTCGGGACTGGGTGATCTTGCGGGAGATGTGCTGCAAGGTGGCAGGAAAAGGCTGCAGGGAATCACAGAACGTGGTATGAGATAAAGGGGTCCTTGAGTTGCCACCATCTCCCACCTGTGGTGGTCAAGAGGAACCAGAACGGGATGGCTCCAGAGGACTAGCACAGGAGTGAGTTCCGGCTACCTCTACCTGCCTGGTGGCATCAGAACAGATGTCAGGACTCAAGCCAACTGCAAGGGCCTGAATTAAGGAGATACCAAGTGTGGATTCAGTGGCAGAGCACGAGCTTTGCAAGGAGAAGAGGGTCCCAGGTTCAGTCCCTGCTGTAGCTCCCTTTAATGGGATCAGGGTGCAAACAATGGAGAGAAGCCCCTCCCTGACCACAACTCCGGGAAGCCACTGCCAAGCAGAGTCGGTGATGCTGAGCTAGATGGGTGATCACCCGACCTTGTTCAAGGCAACTTCCTGTGTCGTGCCACCCAAGTCTGGCCCAAGGAAGAAACTCTGGGCCAGGAAGAGTCAAGAGACCCCTTCCAGGTCAGGCCTGATGGTTGGTCTGAAGAACCAAGAGGCCCAACTCCTTCAGCAGGCTGCTGACCTTGGCCTTTCCTCACCCCACACCCTGTTTGATAGGAGCCAGCACCACAGGACCGTCATTCAACCTAAGGAACCACGGTCTCAGGAGGCTGGGGAAACACAGTAATAACCCCCCCCATAGGACCCCCACAGAAGCAACATGCATCCACACACACTCAGGGTGAAGGGCCAGGCTCGGGTGGTGGAAGTAGGCCTCGCAGGGACAAATCAGGCGTCACGCATACATGGGGGCTCAGTGAAGAGTCACTCACGCCAAGGCAGGAATAGATGGCGCAGACAAAAAGGATGGTGGCCAGGATGACGAAGACGCTGATGTAGGCGCCAAGCATCAGTGGGGAGCTGTGGGGAGATGTGGCAAGTCAGCCCTGGCGGTCAGGACACCACGGCCAGCAAGCGCATTTGTTCACTGGTCATCCACTTTCACCATAGTGTGTTCTCGGACCGTAGCGTCATCATCATCATTTTCAATGGGCTTGGGCTGCTGGCAGCATCTCTCTCTCGAGACCAGGGGCCCTGGTCACACACAATCCCTCTGGACAATTTTAGGGAATCTCCCCACACCACAGTTCACCCCATTTGGCAGGATCTCCGTGCACTTTCTGGAGCTGGAGGGGTTGTTGTGCAATGGGGAGCAGAGTCTGGTTCTGCCTATGCAGTTGATTCAGTTTAAATTTGGATATAACCCCCCCCTTTTAAAATGTTGTATTTTTGTTTGAATGCAAAATACTGCGTTTAAATTTTAAAACAGTGTTTGGCTATACCATGTAGCACAACCATTCCCAAACTGGTGTCTTCCAGATGTTTTGGGCTACAGCTGACCATATGCCTGACTGGGGCTTATAGGATTTGTAGTTCCCAGACATCAGAAGGGCATGAGACTAGTGCACACATCTGGTTTTTGACAAATAATGATCCCTTGCTACTAACCCTAGTTGGGCTTTGTTAGGAAACCACATTTCTTCCTCCTTTTCCTTAAGTGAAACAGAAACTTATCAGCCTCAAAGTGGAAACGATCACCAAACCAGACTAGCCTAGCTTGTTCCTGAGCCCTTTACTTTGGGGAACTGCCAAATCGTGGATGTCATCAGCCTAGTGCAGCCTTCTCTAACTCACCCTTGCAAACTGTTAGACTACAGCACCCATGGTCCCAGGTAATCATGGGGATGATAGGAGTTGTAGTCCATACATTCTGCAGGGCTCTGCTTTGCAGAAAGCTGGCCTAGCATGGCGATGCCTCATCCCATTCTGCATTATGCGGGTTAGATCTTTGATGAACTCATCACAGAGGTCATGATCCATTCACAGGCAGGCAGCACGAATGTGCTCTCTACTTAGCACAACTGGAATCCCACGGTGGTGAACAAATAATTCCACTGGAGTCAAGACAGCATTGGCAAAGCATTGAAGGATTGATTTCCATTTCTGTTTGGATAATCCTGTGGTTCAAGCAGTGTTCCCCCCCGCAACAGAAATATGACCTCAAGGCATCCCTCTGCTTCCTTCGGGGCGTGGGGGCCTTAATTGGGAAGCAGTGGCTTGGTGGCACTTCATGCCATGCAGTGCGTGGGTTCTTTAGGAAGACTTAGTTGTGTTTGGGACTATAGATCCGTGCATACTGCTGCCTAGGTCTACTCTAAAGTGCCTGCTGGAGAGGCATAGTGCAGATACCACCCATGTACTGGGATCCTGTGGAATTTATCTTCACTGTGTGTGTGCACACACATATACAAACGTGCTCGCAGAAAGAGTACACGGTGAACGTACTCTTGCACATGTGTCACTCACTGCGGGAAGATGACAATCTGGATACAACAAATGAAGCAGAAGACAAGGACGGTGCAAGCCACATAGCCCCCGAAACGGGCATCTACTTTTTTGGAATACTGCAGAGGGGAGAAGAGAAGAGAAATTACCAAAGGATGGCAGTTCCCACTGCGGAGGGGCAGAGTGGAGCAAGCCTTCAAGACTGGCCTGAGGCCTAGTCTAGAAGCAAGGGAAGATACCTTTCTCTCCAACTCAGGCTTCTGGAAAGTGAGCAGGAATCGTTTGACGTGATCCTTACGTAGCTGGTCGATGCTCCGCGCATCAATGGCACGGCCCAGAAATTCATCTACCTCATCTTCAGGATTCAGGGCTTCCTGGGTGCTCCGGCTGCAGGAGAGAGAAGTCTCTGTTGGATGACCAGGAAGAAGGCAGGCCAATACAGGCCTTGCAATGCGAACCTGATGAATTTCTCCCGTTGCTGCCACCACACAGTGAAGGGGGCCCCCAATGGGCACCACTTCCCCCCACCCCACTGTTAGGATTCAAGGGGGAGCTAAAGTGAAGGCACTCACTTGTCTTTGCTGGAATCATCAATACCCTGAGAAGAGAAGGGGTGGGAAGAGAGAAGGAAAATCATTTTAAGGCCCACAGTCAATTAAAAAAATACTATTTGAATACACATACAGACACTGAATATCTAAGACCCAGGGACAAAATCCTGCCCTCCTAGAGCCCCAGTCCAGCCCTCCGGGGATCCCTAGACAGCACCAGCCCCTTTCCCCAGCCCTACTTCCTTTCCCTCAACCATCCAGTTGTTTGGGGGTTTCCTGGCTTTGCGCAGTCGTTTCCCCATTCAAAAAGGCTGAAACGTCTCTCCTCAGATTTACATACTTGCAAAAGAGCTTTAAGCTTAAGCATGCTGGTGGTTCTGGCTCCACGCTTTTTGTGTCCATCCCCAGAACTATTTATTGTTATTTATTACAACTGCATATCACCCAAAAGCCAAGGCTCTCTGGGTAGTTTACAACAATTCAAAACATAAAATGCAGCATACCCATTTAAATAGTTAAGAAAACTGCATAAAATCAAAGTGAAAACTACAGTAAAAATGAGCATCAGCACAAAGATTTAAAGTATGACACAGATTTTAAAACAGTCTGGAACTAAAATTCAAGGAAATAACTAGAAATATTGGTACACTAGAAAGCATACAATGAGGGTGCCAGGCAGGCCTCCCTGGGAAGTGTATTCCATAGTCATGGTGCCACAATGGAAAAGGCCCTGCTTCTAGTCCTCCCTCACCAGACTTCCCTCAAAAGGAGCACTGAGGATGATCTTAGGCCCAAGCAGGTATACAGGGGAGGAGGCCATCCTTCAGGAAACCTGGCCCCAAGCCATTCAGGGCTTTGAATGCTCCAACCAGCACTCTGAATTGGGCTGGGACATGGACTGGCAGCCAGTGCAGATGGTAAAGTACTGGCCTAATGTGATCTTGCTGGCTAGTCCCAGTTAACAATCTCACTGCCCCATTTTGGAATAGCTGAAATTTCCAGACTGTTTTTAAAGGCAACCCCACATATAATGCATTGCAGAAATCCAACCAAAACATTACCAGAGCACGGCTAACTATGGCTAGGCCATCACTGTCCAGATAAAGGCATAGTCTAAGCTGATAAAATGTGCTCCATGACAGCAAGTCCACTTGTGTCTCTTGCAACGGTACTCGATCCAGCCCCAAATGACAAGCCCAGTCTTTTAGCGGAAACGTGACCCCTTCCAGAACAGGTTGCGTATCACTCGCCTGCTTAGTGAGCCATCCACAAACTGCACCTCTGTCTTTTCTGGAGTCTCAGTTTATTGGCCCTCATCCAGTTTACTACTTTGCTCAGACACTGATTCAGAGCAGCCACTGCCTCACTTAGATTTGATGAAAGGAAGGACAGAGCTGGGTGTCGTCTGCATATTGATGATACCTCTACCCAGCCCTCCAGATTAACTCTCCAAATGGTTTCATGTACATGCTGAACAACATGGGGGAGAAAACTGAACTGTGTGGAACCCCACAGCATAACTGCCAAGTCACAGAGCAATAATCTCCCAGCGGTACCTTCAGGAATTGACTATCCAAGTAGGAGCAGAGGCACTGCAATGCAGTCCCTTCAGCTCCCAACCCAGATTGCTTCTCTGGAAGGTCAATGACATTGAAAGCTCCAGAGAAGTTCAAGAGAATTAACTAGGTCACACTCACCCTGTCCCTCTCCCTTCCCCTGCAAAGGTCATCCCAAAGGGTGACCAAGGCAGATTCTGTTTCAAATCCAGGCCTGAAGCCTGATTGAATAGGATCCAGATACCCCATTTCATTTTAGAGTGCTTGGAATTGACCAGCAGCCATCTGCTCAAGCACCTTGCCCAGGAAGATGCCTAGCTTTGAGTTATTATCATTTGCTGGGACCAAGTTAGACTCTTTTTAGAAGTAGTGTAATTATCTTCGCCTTTGGCGAGGCTGACCTCATTTCCTCTCTCATGGAGGCATTTATGAACTCCTGGGCCTAGCCAGATATTCCTTCCTTGTTAGAAGTAATGAGCCACAAAGAGCAAAGGTTAAGCATGCAGGTAGTCAACAACCCCCAGGAGCTTGTCTGAAACTGAATTTGGCCTTCAGAATGAAAGAGCTGTGAGCTACACCATGCTTGTCTTTTTTGTATTTTTGGGTCTGCCCCTTCTGCTTTTGGTCCCACCCCCCACTGATATTTGGCTCCCAACACATTTTCCAGAAATAAAAATGTTCCGCAGCTCTGCTTTACACAAACACACACACACACACACACACACACACTGGTGAAGGGCTAAGAATCTGTAGTTATACTAGTGAATGTGCAACATTCCTCATATTTTTAGACATTTGCTAGGTACATATGGGATTTCCATAGATGAACATTAGCCATCACTGCATATCACACTTTCATGGCAGCATACTCTCAAGCTGAAGACCAGAAATATCTGTAGCCAAGTTCTACATCTTTTTAAAATCCCCATTATTAATTTTGGCAATGTCATGCATTCAGTAAAAAAGCAAACAAAACAAAACACAAACAACCCATCAACCAACATCACAACATAGTTATCTGCAGGTATCAGTTCCATGCCAAAGTATTTTTCCCAATCATGAAAAGAAACTAGTCCTCTTAATTGTGTTTTCATCTACTCGTATATTTCCTTATTTGGACTTGCCAACATGGTGCAAGGTTTCAGCGTAGCCTAGAAAATCTCCTTCTGTGCTTACATTCTGTTCCATCCCATAATGGTTCTACAGTGCTCCAAATCCCTCAAACCCATTCCTCCTCAGGGCTGGGTGGACGAATGGAGTTCTTCTACCCCCGCCCCAGGGCTGTTGCACACTTTGCTAGGATTGTCAGGAGCAGCAGGGGCCCTTCCCTGGGCTCACAGTCCCATCTCTGAACACACTGGGAGGTGCCATAAATCTGCCGGGCTTACACTGGCCTTTGGCCAAACAAGCAGTACTGCTCATGGCCCTCAGCATGCCAGTATGGCTAAGATTTACAGCTGGAAAGCAGAAAGCCTGCTGGCTGGTTAATGCTCAACTCAGTAGGTGTGGGAAAGGGGCCTGGGAATGGAGCCTGGGAATATGACCAGAGATGACAACAGTGACGCTGCCAACCTCCTCTGCTTTATGCAGCCATCTCGTTGCCTCCATTGCTGCCACTCCTCCCACCACCAGTTCAGGCACAGGTCAATCTTTGCCCCAGGAGTCTTTATTTCATGTATTTAGATAGACTCTTAAGCCACTTGTCAATTCCAAAGGGTTCCTCGAGGAACTAACAGCAGCAAGAACAAAAATAATATAGAAACTGCAAGCAACCACTTACAAAATATTAAAACGGAGTGAACAGTGTGTAATTCTTAAATGAAATCAGGCCAAATCCAGTAAGATAAATCATGGAACAGTCACTTTAAAAGTCTTCAGCTGCTGCAGGAAAGGGACCAAAGTCAGTGCTGGCCAAGCCTCTCCAGGGAAGGCATTCCAAAGCATGGCAGATCACCCTCTGCCAAGGAAGTGCTATCTTAGTTCACTCTTTGTCTCACCTCAGATGGAGGGAGGACCCAAAGCAGACCTCGGGGTACACTGGTCCCAAGACATTTAACAGTCAAAAACAGGACTTGGAGTGGTGCCTGGAACCATTATAGGAAGCCAGTGCAGTTTTTTCCAAAGCTAGCAAGATGCAATCAAAACACTCTGTCCCAGTCAACATCCTAGTGTCAGTATTTTGTACTAGCTGAAGCTTCAAAGTCAACTTCAAAAGCAGATACACATACAATGTATTACACTTACTACAATGCAGTGTATTACACTTACTAATAATTACAGTAATCAACACGGGATGCTATCAGAATGTGCAAAGTGGTAGCCGGGCCATCTCTGTTCAGGAGAAGCCAACAGCTGCCGAATCATCTAATCTGGTGAAGGCAGTTTTCTAACCTGGGAGACATACGGGATTCCATATAAGGCCATCACTGATAGCACCCCCAACCTGCAAACCTGATCCTTAATAAGGAATAATGGGGAAAGCAACTTCATTCAGAACAGGATGAACTTCACCTCCTTGGGCAGGCATGCCACCCATGCTACCTCTTGTGTGTCTGGACTGAGTTTCAATTTATTGGAACTGATCTAGGTCCATTAGCAATCTCAGACACATCAAATGTTTCCCCTAAATTAAATGAAAACAAATTACAGAGTTCGGTGCCTTCAGAATACTGATGCGCTGACCCCTATACTCTGGCAGTGACCTCACTTGATCTTTTCATGGAGATGTTAAATGGGTGGAGGAGGAGAGGCTGGAGGCACACTGCAGTCTAGCTACCATGGAGCAGAGCTGAGCTAAGCAGTTCCCCAGAATCACCTTCTGGAAATTGCCATCCAAGTAGGAACAGAATCACTCAAGTGCCACCAATCTCCATTCTAACCAGCCATTCCAGGAGGACACTTGGGCTAATGATATCAAAAACCACTGAAAAGCCATTCAGAATTAGCATTCTTTTTCTGACATATGTTAGGGCAATCAAAGTAGTCAAAATTGGTGCCAAAACTGGGCCAGAAAATCTGTTTCATGCAAAACCAACTGGATTTGCCTAGCAACCACTTGCTAAAGAACCTCACCCCAAGAAGGAACATCTGTGGCTTGCTAATAATAGGTCTAAGGAATCCCCTTTTATGACACAACGGCATCCTTTAAAAGATGGCAAGAACTGTAATGATATGTGTCCACACAGCAGCCAAAGCATCAACAGTGGCATAAACCACACTAGCAAGAAATTTCCCCATGATTCTCAGGACTATATCTGGATCCACCAGTTTGTGGAAGCAAACCATCTTAACAGGTCTCTCACCAACAAGATCACAGGAAGCCTGAAGTCCTCTATGCATTCCAAATAACACATGAGGGCTAGAAAGAAGGGACAGGGGAAGGGTCCCTACTCCACCCTCCCAAAGTCCTCATGTACACCAGGACCTATCCCCCATCCCCTCACCTTATCATGTGGAGGAGTGGGTCTGAAGGACGGTTCCACTCGTAATGT